AAATGGAGAGAAAAGATAAAAAATAAAAATACCAAATAAAAAATCAAGGATCACATGGTGTTATGCACAACATGCATGGGTCAACAACAAATTGAATAAGCCAATAAGAGATGTAATGGTGTGCATGTGTAATATAAAGACCAAATGAAGACTAAGCTAGGCTGAGTAAGTGAAATGGAGTCAACTGGAGCTGGGTAAGTCTAGTTATAACTGCGGCGTTGTGCCATGCATATTAGAAAGATAGAGCTCGAGGCCAACTTAGCTTGGTTCATCATGCTGAGTGGAGAAGGTGCACCGAGTTGGAATATGAGTCCATCCTCCGGGTGGTGACCTTGAGTTGTCAATTGTGTGCATTTCGCCGAGTCGCTTTGGTGTTTGTTGATGTTGTCCATTGTGCTTATGTTAATGGTTATTTGACATTGTTGGCGTAGGTGTAGTGGTCCCAAGCAGGGGTGGAGTTGGAGTTGAACTGGTACTAGATAAAGCTGAACTAAATCCACAAGGAGCAAGGTAGTGTTTGCGATGGAGGAAGAGGTGTTGAGTGAGAATGAGAAAAGGGATGAAGTATTGGGGTTTGAAGAAAGGAAAGCGGTGGATCTGAATAAAGGGGAAGATCCGAATGAGAATGGAGAGGAGGTTAAAGATTGGCCCGATTAGAACTATGGGAAATTCGACATTGCAGTGGTCGGTGACACTCTCACTTTCCCGCTGAATGGGTATAGTGGTTCAGGAACACCACTTTAAACTCTGACACATTATTATTCTATTATTAATTTAGAACAATAATATGGGCTTCAAGGTTTCATACTACCCGTTGAATGGGTATAATATAAACCAAATTACGATATGCTGAATAGATATAGTATGTCATGTGAATAGATAAAACAAACGAAGAAAAAAAAAGAAAAAAAAAATTCTTATCGTGATGGGATTTTCTGATTAACAATGTCAGTCAAAAAGAGTTATGTGTCGCCTCCCATATTGTAAGTCGTCGTTGGCAGATGATTGTTAGGGCCTCAAGGTGGGCGCCAAATTGTAGATGTAAAAATCTACCGTCATGAAAACAGGGTCTGATGATGCCACTGATAATCCACTAGACCTGCACACATGAAAGGACAAACGTGAAGCTTACAGAAAACACCGGGATAGTGTTTGCTATAGGCACTCCGACACTCAAGTCAACAAGGCTGAAAGAGATTATTTGATGAGGATTAAGGAGAAGAAGAATTACCAGGAGTCTTGTCGGAGGCTAGGACTACGGCAGAGGTGTCGGGTCCTTGGGAGCCAGAACTTTAGGAGCAAATAGATGGTTTTGAGTATAATAGATTGACTATGGGAGATCGCATGCATAATGAGAGGGCAAGCCTCTGTTTTTATAGTGAATCTAAGGGGTTGAAATCCTAATAGGACACTAAGTCCTCTGTTGGGAGATAATCTCTATCAAGAAAGAAATATGATTTCTTGACTTTATCATATTAAATTTAATAGTTTGAGTAAAATTAGAAATCTTAGTAGGAGAGGAAATAGAATGAGATTCTGATTTCCTATGTATGGATTGTTGCGGGCTAATGGGCTAAAACTCAGTTTAGCTTAACTTATAGGATAGCCCAACTCATAGAGTGGGTAGTTCACAAGGTGATTTTAAGCTTGGCCCAATCGGAATTGGGTTAAGGTCTTGGGTCGTGACATGTTTATTTCGTTATTGGGCCTCGTCAGGCTCAAGACGGTTTTTGGCCCTAACAAAAAACATTTCGAAATTGAATTTGTAATTTAAATAAATAAATCTTGCTCAAATATTTGGGGTAAAATGATGATCAATTGAATTAAGTTTGTANAAGGGGAAGATCCGAATGAGAATGGATAGGAGGTTAAAGATTGGCCCGATTAGAACTATCAAAAATTCGATATTGCAATGGCCGGTGACACTCTCACTTTCCCTCTTTTCTCTTTATCTACGTTGCACTTTGACTACTTACAAGAGTGCCACCAAGTGCGATAGCAGGATAAAAAGAATAAAGAGGAGGTTGCCATGTGGGCACGGTAGTTGGCACAATTAAGGGGTTTTTAGATAGGATTACTTGCGAAAAAGAGCAGTTGGATTTCCTTTTGCTAGCGTTTGGAGGAGGGCTACGTGGGTATAAATAAAAGAGAGAGGGAGAGTGCGTGATAAGAGAGAAGAGGAGGGGAGAATTTATAGGTGGAGAGTGGCGGCTTTGTTACGGGTAGAGGTGCACATGAGAGAGAAGTTGATGAAGTTGGGATTGGTTGTGTTGGAACTGGTTTTATGGCGGGTAATGAATTGCAAAGCTCTGATAACAGTGGCAGACCACCTGGTGGTTTGATGATTGAAGTGAAAAGGCGCGTGTAGAGAGGTTAGAGATAGAAGCTATTGCCTTATCTAAATAGAGGATTAGAGAAGAGAGATCGTTGAAGCAAAGTCAATGAATCAAGTGGTTCAGGAACACCACTTTAAACTCTGACACATTATTATTCTATTATTAATTTAGAACAACAATATGAGCTTCAAGGTTTCATACTACCCGCTGAATGGGTATAATATAAAACAAATTACGATATGCCGAATAGATATAATATGGCATGTGAATAGATAAAACAAACGAAGAAAAATAAAGAAAAAAAAATTCTTATCGTGATAGGATTTTCTGATTAACATTGTTAGTCAGAAGGAGTTCTATGTCGCCTCCCATGTTGTAAGTTATCGTTGACAGATGATTGTTAGAGCCCCATGGTAGGCGCCAAACTGTAGATGCAAAAATCTATTGTCATGAAAATAAGGTATGATCCTGTGAGGTTGAGGCCATGGACAATCTACTAGACCTAGATACATGAAAGGACAAGCGTAAAGCACACATGAAAGGACAAGCGTAAAGCTTATAGAAAACACCGGGGTGGTGTTTGCTATAGGCACTCCGACGCTCAAGTCAATAAGGCTGAAAGAGATTATTTGATAAGGATTAAGGAGAAGAAGAATTACCAAGAGTCTTGTCAGAGGCGTCGGGTCCTTGGGAGCTAGAAGTTTAAGAGCAAATAGATGGTTTTGAGTATAGTAGATTGACTATGGGAGATCGCATGCATAATGAGAGGACAATCCTCTGTTTTTATAGTGAACCCAAGGGGTTGAAATCCCAGTAGGACACTCATTCCTCTTTTGGGAGATAATCCATATCAATAAAGAAATATGATTTCTTGACTTTATCATATTAAGTTTAATAGTTTGAATAAGATTAGAAATCTTAGTAGGAGAGGAAATAGAATGAGATTCTGATTTCCTATTTATGGATTGTTGCGGGCTAATGGGCTGAAACTCAGTTTAGCTTAACTTATAGGATAGCTCAACTCATAGAGTGGATAGTTCACAAGGTGATTTTAAGCTAGGCCCAATCGAGATTAGGCTGAGGCTATGGGTCGTGATATGTTTATTTCGTTATTGGGCCTTGTCAAGCTCAAGACGATTTTTGGCCCAATCGAGATTGGGCTAAAGGCCATGGGTCGTGACATGTTTATTTATCAAGATTGAGCTGAGGCCATGGGTCGTGACATGTTTATTTCGTTATTGGGCCTTTTCAGGCTCAAGACGATTTTTAGCCCTAACAAAAAACATTTTGAAATTGAATTTGTAATTTAAATAAATAAATCTTGCTCAAATTTTTGGGGTAAAATGATGATCAATTGAATTAAGTTTTTATTTTGCAACATTTATATAGCATTCAAAATCCACGCTCTATATGTGAGAGGATCAATTAAGCCCCAAGTACTAAATTAAGGTTCAGTTTTGTCCGGAAGTCTGACAATTAAATTTACCATTCAAGCAATGCTATAAATAAAAATCCTGAAAAAAAATTGCTTTCTTCTGCCCCCTCTACCAAGTATCAATCCTTTGTGCAAAAGCTTGAAAAATCCAAAATAACCACAAAACTAAATTTCAAATAAAATAAAAAAATCAATTTCGGTATTCTATTTATTAAAATTTAATTATATATATTTAATTTTCTTCTCTCACTTAATTATCATTGTGATTTATTGATTTTAAATAAAAATACTTTAATAAAATTTAATTATTAAACACCATTTAGAAAAAGTTTAAAAATGTACCTCTAAGACTGTCAGACGAGTCGAGCTGATCTGAAGCTCAACTTGACAATTGTCGAGTCGACTCGGCCCGAACTTGATTTATAAACCGAGTCGACTTCGATCATGGGGGGGCTCGGCTCGTGGGCTCGCGAGCCTGGGCTGGCTCGCGTATGTAGGGTGCTGTTGGTGAGTTTTATAAGCCATGAGGGACTTAACATATACAACAGTTACAAAATTTTAAAAAACCAACATTTACCCCCCCAAAGTGCAAAATCATAAAACACCATATTTCACCCCCAAATAAATTTCCCCCAATTCCCAAATTGCAAACATTCACCCAATGAAGCACCCTAACCCCAAACTAGTGACCTCGCTGTGAAATCAGTGGTCTCCGTCGCCGATCTCGTCGAACGTAAAAACACTCACACAAACTGCAATTTCATCCCTCAAAGCTTGAAACCAGGTTTGCTAACTCTTATCCCCCAAATCGACTAAAGCCTAAACCCCCAAATCGCGAAATCTCACCACCGTGAAACTGACAGGCTTCATCCCGTGTTCTTGCAACCATTGGTCAGTTTTACATCTCTTTTTTCATCCCAAATCGCGAGCTCGCGAACCGGCTCGAACTCTGTCGAGCTCAAGTTCGAGTCGCTTTTCCCAGGTTCGGTAGGCTCGAGCTCGACCCTGTAGCAAACGAGCCGAGCTCGATAAGTCGAAAACTCGACTCGGTTCGACTCGTTTATAACCCTATGTACCTCTTCTACTTATAATTATGACTCTTTTTATTTTTGGGTTAATAGTAGAGTTGGGAGAATTAAAATTCAAGAAATATTATCTCTATTTAATATTTAATTTCCCTATTAATTATTTTTTAACCTTGAAAAAAAAAAAAAAAAAACAAAAAACAAAAAACAAAAAAACGTCTTCCTTTTCCCTCTCTCTACTCTCACTCTTTTCTCTATCAGGAGGCCTTCCGCAACAAAAAATAAACCTGAAAAACCCCAAATCACAACAGAACCCTAAATACTTAGGCCAATGCTTTTCATGTCCCGTTAAATTCTCTTCAATCGAACAAAGATCCTGGCCCGAATCCATAATGGGTCGACCCGAACCTTGCGTCCTGTTCGCTCAGACCTTCGTTCACCCCCAACTCGACGAGTATGTCGACGAGGTAAACTTTCTTCACTGCCACTTCGTCTTCTCCTCCGTTCAATTTTAATTCAAATTATTGTTGGTTGTGTGTTTATTATGTTCTGCTTTGTTAGGTGTTGTTTGCGGAGCCAATTGTTATAACTGCGTGTGAGTTTCTTGAGCAAAATGCGTCTTCGGCTTCTCAAGCAGTGACGCTCGTTGGGTATGTTGATTCTCTTGTTGCTGTTCTCGAGATGAATGACTGATGTTATTCTCTTTTAATGTTCTTTTTAGGGAAATTTACTTGTTTGTTTTATGGATAATTAGTAATTTGTAATGTGGAATGTGAAACTTGTAAAGTAAATTTGCCATGGAAAATTGAGAAAATCGAGAGGGCATTCTATATATTCTAATGTTATTAGAATTGGTGGTCAATAAACTTGTGAATGATTTGGTTCCGGGTTTCAATTTTGGAGTTCAATAACATTGCTTCTGCGGAAGAATTTAGTTGTTGTAATCATTGTCTTGGGAAAATGTTAGGTATTAATACTTTATGATGATCTATGGATTTTTTATCGGTACACAATTCTAAAATGTTAAGTGTCTTATACAGGGCCACTTCGCCTCCTTCATTTGCTTTGGAGGTTTTTGTTCAGTGTGAGGGAGAGACAAGATTCAGGCGCCTTTGTCAGCCTTTTCTGTATTCACATTCTTCAGCCAATGTGTTAGAAGTGGAGGTATTTACCACATTTTGTGTAATTCTCTGTGTGTGGTTTTTTTTTTCTTTTTTTAATTTATGTTATCATTATTAATTTATTCTATGACTATTATTTAATAGGTTGTCCTAATGAGCTACCCAAATATACTTGATTATTAATGTTAACATCTTATTATAACTATCATTATTTCTATTAGTCTTTTTGTAATTTTGTGCTAGGTTATGTGTTTGTTGGTTTTATGCATGTATATTATTTGTTTTATTGAGACACTGATGTATAAAGAGAATGCTTAATGCACGTATGTCGGAACTTATAAAAAGAACAAAGTTTTACGTTTCTAGTTTTCAGATTTAAATCTTCTGAAATACAAAAATTCTATTGGGAAACGTTTTCAGGAGTTACAGTTAGATTTTAGGTTGAACTTGTGATAGTTCATCAAGGAATAGGTGAATGACTCCAAATCATTGACTTTGGAAGCAACATGAGTGAACGATTCTGAAAGTTTCTTTTATCTTGTGATGTCAATAATGGGAATATGGTTGGTTAGTGTTGACATATATTGCTATTTTTGTGAAGAACTAGTGTTAGAGGGGTCATGGATACAGGTATAGAAGACTCTTGGTTGTAGAAATTTCAAATGTTTCCGTTAATTTTTAATTGTTTAAACCAGTAAGAATCCAAAGAGTTTTGTACTGGTTGGTCTATAAGAGCTCTTTGGGTGGAAACTGTTGGCACATACCTAGAGCAGGTTGGAAGATCCTCAGGTTTCTAGTATTGTGAATTGTGGGAGATCTCTTTTTTGTTGTGGGAATGTGTGCATTTTGGTACATGTTTCAGTTGGTTTTCTCGTACTTGCAGGTTGTCAATCAGTTGTCATGTTCCAAATTAAAATGTTAGGCCTCTTCTTTGTCTTTTTACTCATAGTATAGTTGGAATCAGTCACACTGCTTTTTCTTTCAGAATTTTTGGAACACTGAATAGTATGAGGCTCTCCTAGCAGTTTCTGAAATTTTTCTCTTAGCTTACTACTTGTCCAAATTGTTTTATACTATAAATGTTTTTACTAGTGGGTGATGATGGCTTTCCTCTAGCATTATATGCTTTAGTTGATATTACAGCAGACTTGGGTTACCAGCCCGTTATCTGATAATCTTTGGGCTTATCCATAATTAGAAAATGTGACAATTCTCTTGGTTTGTTCAAGGCTTGTGTGACTTCGAGATGGGATTTTTCTGGAGCTTTATGCACGGTGTTGTTACAAGTCTTGAGTCTTTTTATTATTTTTTTGGAATGAGAAACTGAAAAAATTGTATTAACTAGAAAGAAGAAGTTACAACTGTGGACTAGTTGTTCAACAAGAAAACATAACCCTCCTAAAGGGGTATCAGACTATACAAAAGAACCAATCAGAATACTATTTTGTGAAAACCAAGGAAAAACAAATCTATCCCAAAATCAAAGCAAAAATCAGGGAATACAAAATTAACCTAAAACTCCTCCCAAAGTTAAATGAATAAATAGAAAAAAAACTAGGTAAATCTTCGAAATCTTTGGAGATCAAGTTTCGTAGAAAAGGAATTTGATCGATTCTACCACTCTTCCTAACTTTTTTCTTAAAAAGTACGATTATATTGTTTCTGTAATATTACCCAAAAGAGAGCATTAACTAGTCATTTGTAAAATTTCTTAGTTTTTCTCCAATTCCTTTAAAGAGAAAAATATTCTTCATAAGAAGAGTCACAATAACCTGGGATAACCGACAAAATCTTAGCTCCTTTCCTAATTTGGCCCACTAACTAGAGGCTACAACATGATGGAGGAAATGGTGGTTACTTTATAATTGGAGTCCATTTTTTTTTTCAAATAACTTTTCCTTTGAAAAGTATGGTAAGCAAGTCAAATTACCCACTATCAAGTGAGGAGTGAGAATCATTTTTCTATAAGATATAACCTAGTAATAAGCATACTCAATAACCAACAGAAGTTTGATAATTGTTATGATGAATATATTGATGACAAGTACACAAGTTATTATTTTATATTTTATAACTAAAAGTTATATGCAAGTCCACTTCAAAGCTTAACAGAATCATAGGCAACCTACCTTGGTATGAGAAGGAATACGAGACAATCAATTTATTTCTTTTTCAAATGAGTAGAGCAGTGTTGCTTGCCCTAATCACTTGTGAATTTTCTAGGGTTTTGGTAACATTTTCAATGTTATACAAATCTCAGAACAAACAAAAAATATGTTTGGTACTGTATATGGAAAACAGGATTTGAAGGCAGAAAACCATTCTCTGTTTCAACTATAACATATCTGAAAGGTTTTTTTGTGCCTTTCTGAAAGACATGATTTGGAGAATGCAATTTTTCTTCTATTTCATCAAAATACTATTGACAGACATGCCTAATCACCATATGCATTCTTGAATCTTGAATGCATTTTGTTCTTTTGCACAATATTATTCAAAAACAATTTTGCAAATTTTTTTCATACTCTTTATATTCTTATTGATTAGTCAGTTATACTAACCTTCTTGAGGAGGCAATTTGTCACTGTTGTTTATTCATGTCCATTCTATCCACTCAATTCAAAAAAGGGAGGAAAAAAAGTTTAGGGGCCTTTTTCACTCCTAAGTTGTGTTCCATTGGACTCTTTAGTTGGGGAAGCTTGTAGCACTACAGAATCATGATAGTAATGCATTAATTTCTCTGCAGGCTGTTGTAACAAATCATCTCATTGTAAGGGGCAGCTATCGCAGTCTAAGCTTGATCATATATGGGAACACAGCTGAGGATCTGGGACAGTTCAATATTGACTTTGATGATAGCTCTTTGACTGATCTTGTTACTTCTGCTGAGGGAAAGCTTGAAGACCTTCCTCTTGCACTACATTCAATTAATCGTACAATTGAGGAGTCCATATCCTCTCTGAATAAATTGTCTTTTCCAGTTACTGCCTCTGACATATCTCTTGAGGTTAAGCAGTTATTACATTCGATGTTGAAGGTTTTTGAGATGTCAAACTCTGAGTCTTCAGTGGATAAAGTTCTAAGCACGATGATGTTGGCATCCTCTTCTTACTTTTCTTACTTGTGTGACACAATCAATCAGAAACATCTTACAGTGGGCATCTTTAAAGATTGTGAAGGTGATTTGCGCCGTGTTATTAGTAAGGCCAGAAAAGAGCTTCTTGAGCTCTATGAAGGCCTTCAACATGATTCAGGGAATGCATCAGCTGAACAATTTGCAGAGTGCAACTTTTTTGAGACTGAGGCTGATGTAGCTTCCTCCAAACAGTTGGTGGACATGTTAAGCCAGTAATTTGACTTTAATGGGAGCACCTTAACTGTTGGACATCACACAATTTCACAGGTGATTTTGAGCTGAAATTATTTGTTCTGGCATTGTGCTGTTTGTATATTTGCATCTATGTAGTAACTGTTACTATAGAAACAAACTTGTACTCCATATTCTCTCCATCACTCTCTTGCTTGCTCATTTGCTCTATAGATCCTGTTAATTTCTGATTTGCTTTCTGATTTACAGAGTAGTAGTGTCATTCTGGGACTTAGTGTGGCTCTTTTGCTGTGCTCTGGTAGAGAAAGCTGCTTTCACTTTGTTAACAGCGGGGGAATGGACCAGCTTGCATATGTTTTTAGTCATGACATGGTGAATTCTACCACCATTAGGTTGCTTCTACTTGGAGTTATTGAGCAGGCTACACGGCATTCAGTTGGTTGTGAAGGTTTTTTAGGGTGGTGGCCTCGAGAAGATGAGAATATCCCATCTGGCATTAGTGAAGGTTACAGCAGATTGTTGAATTTATTACTGCAGAAACCACGTCATGATGTGGCTTCTCTTGCAACTTTTGTCCTTCATCGCTTACGATTTTATGAAGTAGCTTCACGTTACGAAGTACGCTTTTAGTTCTCCCCCATTTTTTCTTTTGTTTCTTTGGTTGGTAGGGAGGTTGGCAGGGGCCGGTTGCACTTGAATGCATCTATGTCCAATATGACTTAATGGATTTCTTGTGGTAATTTTATTCGTTTCCATTCTAGAGTGCAGTTCTGTCCATATTGGGAGGCCTATCCACTGACAGCAAGGTTACAGCTGATACTTCAAACATGCTTATAAGTGCCAAGTCACAACTCAAAAAGCTATTGGTCAGTTGTAAAATTATATTTTCATTTTTTATTAGAATGTCATGGTTGCTAGTTTCTGATTTTGACTCATTGTGTAATCTGCAATTGTGTGTCATAGTTTATGTTTGTTGACAAGTATCAATGCAGAAACTGATAAATGCACGTGGTCCAATTGAAGATCCTTCTCCGGTGTCCTGTGCAAGTAGATCATTGGTTCTTGTTCAGACAGAAGGATTGTTATCATACAAAGCAACCAGTAGCTTTATTGCTTCATCGAATTGTTGCTTTTTAAATTCAGATATTGACTGGCATTTGCTGAGCCTTCTTAAGGTACATTTCCCGTTTATCTCTTTTTATTCTCAGGGAATTTGGGTATACTCTTACACAGAATTATATAACATTGTTTTGGTACACCACTTTATTGTTGGTTTTGTTGATCTTTTAAGGCTTGATGGATGGCACATTAAGGCTTAAAAAAAAAAAAATTTACTTGGTTATCGCCAGAGTTTCCTTTTATTTTTCTGATTAGAGCCTGCTTAATTTCTAAAACTCAATGTGAACATGATATTTTTGTTCTCTTATAGCTGTTGCATACAATGGACTTCTTTTTTGAACTTTTGCTTATGATTATTACTTTTTTGGTATATTTCTTCGTTAAGAGAACTCAAGTATAAAAAAGTACTACTTCTAGAATGTCTAGGGAAATGCTTTTTCCTAGGAATGCATATCTTATCACAAATTTCACAGGGAATATATATGTAGTAGGACTCCTGAAAAGTTTGTGTATTTGATCCATTTGATTTCTGTTTTTTTTTTTTTTTTTTCCCTGCTTATAGAGCTGTGCATGTAATAGATATAGTGATGCTGTGAAGCAGAGTCTTAATTCTTAAATGACTTCTGCTGAATTACATGGCTAGTGGTTTATTTTACCTTCAATTTCTGTAGCATATATTTGTCTAACAGTGAACTGCCCTAACACACTAATTTGGTTCGGAAGTAATGACTTTTTGTGAAGTTTTTTGAAAATTCATTAGTCATGCCATTTATGCTTTTGGAGGTTAGAGTACATGTGCCATTTGAAATCTAGAGGTTGCAATGAGTAACATAGGGGCTATCCTCTTTCTCCTGATAACCTGACTTGGTGGAAAATGCTTGCTGAAGAAAAGTATAATTATGGGCATTAAACTCTGAGTTAGGCAGATCAAATTAAAATTAAATCCCTCTTTCAACTTTTCAAGGGACCAAACCAAAGTGAAACAACGGATTAGAGGATTTTAAGATATTATGAACTAAGGCTATAGCTCCAACCTCCAGTTAAGGGGTGGGAAGGTTAAAAATGGTAACTCGTTTTGAAATCATTTCACTGTAGTTTAGCAATCTGATAATGCAACCTCCTCATCAATCTCAATCTGTCTGGTGGTAGTTACAGCCATTGGATTAAGAGGTACTACTGCTGGGATTTTTCCCATGATTTACTTCAATTAGTTTTGGTGTTAATATGAAGGATGACCTGCTAATTGTCAAAGGGGTTGTAACTTTGGTTGCTTTTCTTTTGTGAAGTAGGCTAGGTGCATCCTTATACCTTTTATCTAGCTAATTTTTTTCCCCCCCTCTTCTCTGTGTGTTGGTTGGTAAATTCCTAGCATCATTGTTAATAGTCAAATGTTTTCTTGGGAGCAGGAGAGGGGCTTTCTTCCCTTATCAGCTGCACTGTTGTCATCCTCAATATTGCGTTCAGATGTGGGAGATGCTATGGATATATATTTGGATATTGCCTCCTCTATTGGGGCCATAATTCTTTCGCTTCTTTTTTGTCGCTCAGGTCTGTTAATGGCACCTTTGCTGTTGTTTATATCGGATTTGAAACGTTCTGATATTTATGTAGCATGTCTTTTTTTTTTTTTTTTTTTTTCAGGGTTAATATTTCTACTACATCATTCTGAACTTTCTGCTACATTACTTCGTGCTCTGAGGGGGGTTGTTGATATTAGTAAGGAAGAGTGCGTTCCTCTTCGGTATGCGTCTATTTTGATGTCAAAGGGTTTTGCTTGTGGTCCACAGGAAGTTGCAACGATAGTAGAGATGCATCTGAGGGTGGTTAGTTCCATTTCTTGGTCGGGATGACCATTGCTCATTTGTGCCCTTTTTTTATTTATTTTTTAATTCCCTAAAATGTTTTTGATTTGTAATTTTCATTTCCAGTTTATAACTAAATCTTAGTATAATGTTTTTTCTCATGTTATGTCTCAGGCTAATGCCATAGATCGTTTACTCACATCAAATCCACACTCGGAAGAATTTTTATGGGTGTTGTGGGAACTGTGTGGCCTGTCGAGGTGGAAGTTGCTTACACATTTGGTCAATGTTTAGAGGTTTTGATACAACATTACTGGTTTTGACTCTGCACCCTTTTGAAATGTTTTGTAGGTCTGATTGTGGACGCCAAGCTTTGCTGGTTCTGGGGTTTTTCCCTGAGGTATTGAATGGATGTGCTATTCATAGTCATATTTATTTTTTCAATCAGATACTCAGTACTCGTCATTTAGCTGATTAAAATTGAATAAGCCAGTTTTATGTACTTATCTTTGTAGTAGAATCATCTGGTGAAGTAGCAATTATTTTCCTTTACTTTCCTAATGTTACAATATACTGTTCTTATATGTAAAATCTGTTTACTACTCTATTCTGCTATTTGGGCATAGTTGTAAGTTTCTTGCTGGCAGCACTAAGCTTAAAAAGCCTGTTGTTATTTATGACATGAATTGCTCCTGAAAGAAGCTAATTTTAAAAACTCATGTTCCTACTGCAACCCTCAGTAACTTTTCCTCCTGTTGACGGTTGAATTTATTGTGTATAATGTCATTTTTCTGTATGGCACGTCATTTTTCTGTATGGCTACTGCCTCTGACATGTCAATGTTCTGTAGGCTGTTTCAGTATTGATTGAAGCTTTACATTCTGCCAAGGAATTGGAGCCAGTAACTAAAAATAGCGGTAACACAATTGCTCTATGTTTAAGTTTGAACTAGGCGCATAGTTTCTGGTTTGTTTGTCTAATACGAGTGCATTGGATGAAATTTGGCTGTTCAGGAGCTTCACCTCTTAATCTTGCCATTTTGCACTCAGCTGCTGAGATTTTTGAAGTCCTTGTTACTGATTCAACTGCATTTTCTCTGGGTTCTTGGATCGGACATGCTAGGGAACTTCACAAGGCTCTACATTCTTCTTCTCCTGGGTCTAATAAGAAAGATGCACCCACACGTCTGTTGGAATGGATAGATGCTGGTGTAGTTTATCACAAAAATGGGGTTATTGGTCTCCTACGTTATGCTGCTGTGTTAGCTTCTGGAGGAGATGCTCACTTAACCTCAACCAGCATTTTAGTATCAGATATGATGGATGTTGAAAATGGCACTGGAGAACCTTCCAGTGGTTCTGATTTTAATGTTATGGAGAATCTTGTTAAAATTATTACTGAAAAGTCTTTTGATGGTGTAACCCTTCGAGACTGTTCAATAGCACAGCTGACAACAGCACTTAGAATTTTGGCTTTTATTTCAGAAAACTCAGTATGTAACTGTCCATTTTCAACCATATAGTAGTAATGTAGGGGTCTCATTTCACCATTGGTTTCCACTATTTCTCATTCTTCTTCTTCATCTTCTTGGGTGTAGACTGTTGCTGCTGCCCTCTATGATGAAGGTGCTCTAATGGTGATCTATGCAATTCTAGTTAACTGCAGGTTCATGCTTGAGAGATCTTCAAACAGTTATGGTAAGTAATTGCGTATACTTGTCTTGAGTCAGTCAGTAATCTCATTATTGATTTTTTGTGGCATGTTTTTATTCTAATCAATAATAATCTGCCTTGCCTGATGGTTATCTGCATTATTAAAGCATTTGGTTTTGTTTTCCTCAACAGATTATCTTGTTGATGATGTTACAGAATGTAATTCTTCATCTGATTTACTATTGGAACGTAATCGTGAACAGAGTTTAGTTGATCTTTTGGTTCCGTCTTTGGTATTACTAATTACCATTCTGCAGAAATTACAGGTTTGTCACATTTTGAATTTGAGTCTGGTGTGTATTTGGAATGGTAATTTGTATTTGTAAAATGGTTTCTCTGACCATGTGATGCATTTTTTGTTATAAATGACAAGATGTCTTATGTGATATAGGGCATTATGGAGATGTTGTAAGGTTAATTAAGTCTTTTTGGTTTGTTAACTTTAGTGTTTGCTTTCATGAGGCGACATTTACTTTATTTTATTTTCCGATTCTGTTTGATGGCACCTATTGTACTCCTACATTGTTACTTAAGGAGTCTAAGGATCACTTGACATAGCTTCCAAGACATATTTCAATTAAGAGTTTGAGTTGTTTGATTGGCCTTTAGCTCAACTATGTCAATGAACAGATTGCAAAGATTGATCCTTGTCAGCTCAGTCCTTGGTACCTTCTTTGCTGTCATTTGCATTTCATGGTTAAATGGTCTGTAATGTGGAACTGACATCTCTAGTGAAGTTGGCCATGCTGCATTACTAGCTTCGACATGGCTCTTTCTGTGAACTTAGGCCCTTCAGATGATATGGGGTTGGTTTTAAGTGCTGATATTTTTTTATGGAATTTCCTATGCTCTTTTGTCTTTGTGAATGTTAAAGGGGACGAGGTCCTTATATAGTTTATTTGGAAGCATTGTAATGAAGGCTACCATTCTAATTTGGAAAGGGCTTATTCAGGAATTCAGTCTAAGTACTACTGGTTGCAGTTGTCTTTCTGAATGACATGCATCTCTTAAATTTCTAAAATACTTAAATTGTTTCATTGCCATATCTGCAGCAAGGTAATGAGCAGCATAAAAATACCAAACTAATGAATGCCCTTCTGCGTTTGCATCGAGAAGTGAGGTATTTACCTTTCTCCTGTATTTTTTAAATAGTTTAAATCATGTACTTTGCATATAATTCAGTGACTTGACGGAATCGCAGCCCCAAGCTGGCTGCATGTGCAGCAGACTTATCCTCATCTTATCCTAATTCAGCCCTTGGGTTTGGAGGAGTCTGTCATCTTGTTGTGTCAGCACTTGCTTTTTGGCCAATTTATGGCTGGACTCCCGGCCTTTTTCACTCCCTTCTTGCCAGTGTTCAAACTACTTCAATTCTGGCTTTGGGACCAAAGGAGACCTGTAGTTTGCTTTGTCTTCTGGTATGCACGATTTCCATTCTTAATTGGTTCTTTCATATTCTATTTGACAACACAAAATTGGTAAATGTATTGTGTCAAGTGCTTGCTCTTGTTCTTGTTGTATTGGCAAAGATTTAATTTGAGAACTTGGTTTTATTTTCTCTTCATTTCGTTGCCTGTTTGTCTTATTACAAAATCCTGAAACATCCTGATTTGAAAATGGTCCTGGAACTGCGATATTTGACTAGTTTTCTTTTTTTCATCTCTTATGTATTGCAAGAATGATTTGTTTCCTGAAGAAGGTGTCTGGCATTGGAGGAATGGAATGCCCTTGTTGAGTGCTCTTAAAACAATAGCTATTGGGTCGTTGTTGGGGCCTCAGAAAGAGAGACAGGTTGATTGGTATCTAGAGCCTGGACACCTTGAGAAGCTGCTTAGCCAATTGAGACCTCATCTTGACAAAATTGCACAGATAATCCATCATTATGCTATTTCTGTATGTGTTCTTTCCCCAAAACTGTACTTTAGAATTGATATCATTTTCTTCTGCGCTATTTTTGGAGGGTAGGGTGATTTTGCAACTTTGGAATTCTATATTGAATGGGAACTGTGTATATGTTTTTTTGTGCATGTCTGTTGATGTTATTATTCTTTAACAGGCATTGATAGTCATACAAGACATGCTTCGAGTTCTTATAATACGCATTGCTTGCCTAAAACCTGAAAATGCTTCTGTACTTCTACGGCCTATATTATCATGGATTCGTATTCGTGTTTTTGACTCATCTTATCCATCAGAGATGGATGTATACAAGGTGATAATTTTTTTCCCTTGTTTCAGTTTAATAATTTGTCAAGTCTGTTGTGCTTTATATGTTCTTTCTCTTTTCAGGTTCACCGATTTCTGGATTTTCTTGCTTGCTTGTTGGAGCATCCATGTGCTAAGGTTCATTTACTGTCTCAATTCTCTTCAATTTCCCTCTCCTTCCCAAATCATCTGCAACTTATCTTTTGTGCAATGACTATTTTCTCTATCAGGCACTATTGTTGAAGGAGGGTGTTCCTGAAATTCTAAGAGAAGCGCTGGAGAAGTGTCTTGATGCCTGTGATGCAGATGGAAAACTGATTTTAGATGACGTAAATTCTGCCAAGTGTGGTTTTACTTTGACCGGTTGGTGCCTTCCTGTATTCAAGTCTATCTCACTACTTTGTAGTTCTCGAACACCTCTACAATACTCTGGGAGACATGATTTGTGAGTAGATGACAAGCTTTTTGTGATTTATTCTTTTTCTTTTTCTATCTGTCTTTTCTATTTCAAAATTCATTGCATTCATTCAAATTTTTTGATGGTTTTCTAGGTACAAGTTTGAAGATTTGAGTTCTGAAGATTGTTTGTTAATTGCTCCATACATCCTTAAGTTTTGTCAGGTATTTCCTTTTCAATTTAGATGAGGTTAAATATTTTTAAATGGTTCTTGCTGATACTTTCTTTGCAGCATTATCTTAGAATATGAATGCTGCTTTTTTATGAATTGCTTTCCTTCTTTCCAATGAATAAATGTTGGGTTTCAGTGTCAAAGACCTTGACATTTTATTCGATAATTAGATGACTCTGAAATTTTCCTTTCAGAATTTTTGTTAATTAATTTCCTCTATATGAAAATCAGAGAAATGTTTTACAAATTGTAGATTTAGAAGGAAAAAGTATTCGTGCTACATGAATTGTAATAGAGAATATCGATTTTTTCAGGTACTACCAGTTGGAAAAGAATTAGTCTTTTGTCTTACTGCTTTCAAGGAATTAGTTTCTTGCAATGGAGGTCAAAAGGCTTTGGTTTCTACTGTATGTAATACTCGCTCAACTCTTGAAGAACTTGATTCAGGGGGAAGACATGAAAGGAATGGGAACCTTAGTCTTCTTAATGAGTTTGAATGGAGAAAGAATCCTCCTTTATTTTGTTGCTGGACAAAGTTGTTAGAATCAATTGATTCAAAAGATGGCTTGTCAACTTATGCAATCGAGGCTGTCAGTGCTCTGTCTTTAGGTTCTTTGCGCTTTTGCGTGGATGGAAAAAGGTCAGTCTACCTTGATAATTTGCTACACTATGTATTCGTTGGCATACATTATAATATACTGTATACTAATGGTACAAATCCTTTGTTTGCATGAATATCTATCTTTCTCTGAGCTCTCTTATTTGTAAATAAGAAAATTATTTTCACTTTTATTTATTAGTTGTAGTTTCACTTACTTGTTTCTAAAGTCCCCCATAAATCTAGTCAAGATTTGCTATGGAAGATCAGAATCAGGAGCTGAACTTTCTTAGTTATGAGGGATACCTTGCTGATAGGAAAACTAGTTGAGCATAAGTAGGTATAAGAAAGTCTCCAAGAGAAGATATTATGACATGTTGTCGTGGGATTAAGTAATCCGCTGCTCGAGCTTGTTCTCATGAGTATCAATTCATAAATAGATAATCTATATATGTCAAGGTATGTAAACAGTTACAATGAGATTGGTTGATATGTTGCTTGAGCTTGTGTCAAATCAAAGGATGAAAGATCCCTTCATTAGATATGACCTTTAACAAGATACTAAGTACTGACCAACTGAAGTAAGCTTCAGTAGCATTTTTCTGTGGATTTTCTTGGGTGCTTAACAAGATCGAAGCATCTTTGAGTGCATTTGTTTGTCCCCATGAACTTTTCATAGGAGTCTTGTTTGAAGGTTGTCTTCAGTTGTTTGGTTCTTCTATATGCTTTGAACTTATGAATGACTTGGAATTAAATGTGAAAGGAATATAGATGAATTTGAATGAAGATGACGAATACAATTTGATGGAAACTCTGACACTAATTATGCTGTATGTTGTTTCAAAAGATTAGTGTTGCTGGGTATTTTAGCAGAACGGAATATAAATTTTGGATGTAGAGATAAGAAGAAAAATCAACATGCTGTAGCTGAGTTTAAACTTTTGGGACTTTCCAATTTACTTTTGATTGAGGCAGAGAATAGCTTAAGTTAATTGGAATTTATATATTCTTTAAACTAGTTAGTACTTTTGTGTATCTAGTAGAAGAGAAGAGGAGAGGGGGAGGGACTTGGAGAGTTAGGAGAAAGCTTATATAACATTCTAAGATATGAATTTAAAGTATGCAAACACAAGTATAGAAATATGCACAGTTATGTAAGATCAGCCTGTGCTTTACACAGTGACTGCTGGTAATATCTTTTACCAGTGGCTTGTGATTGTTTCTTATTCTATTTGGACCTTTATTTTGTTGTTTTGAATTCTTTTGATATTCTGACCAGCTTTAGATGACTTGTTGAGAGTAATCTCTTCGTCTTTTTCATTTCTTTCTTTCACCTTGCTTCATCATTTACAACTTTGGTTCAAACTACAATTTCTGATCATATATTACATAGAGCTACTCTTGGGTCCTTTAATTGGCTTGATGTCATTTCACTTGCTTAACATACGGTTTGCCTGTTAATTAGTTTGAACCTGGATGCGGTTGTCGCATTGAAATATCTTTTTGGGCTTGCTGATGATGATAAGAGTGGGACTGAGGGCTTTTCAGAGGAGAACATAAATTACATACAGAAATTGGCTACTGTTTTGAATTCAAATATCAATGATGAATATGACTTTTCAGCGAACCCTGATATACAGACCACTTTGTCTCAGGTGAGTACTGTTGGTTCGTTAACTTTAGTGTTTGCTTTCATGAGGCGACATTTCTTTATTTTATTTTCCGATTCTGTTTGATGGCACTATTGTACTCCTATATGTTACTTAAGGAGTCTAAGGTCACTTGACATAGCTTCCAAGCATATTTCAACTTGAGTAAGAGTTTGAGTTGTTGATTGGCCTTTAGCTCAACTATGTCAATGAACAGATTGCAAAGATTGATCCTTGTCAGCTCAGTCCTTGGTACCTTCTTTGCTGCATTTGTATTCATGGTTAAATGGTCTGTAATGTGGAACTGACATCTGTAGTGAAGTTGGCCATGCTGCATTACTAGCTTCGACATGGCTCTTTCTGTGAACTTAGGCCCTCAGATGATATGGGGTTGGTTTTAAGTGCTGATATATTTCATGGAATTTCCTATGCTCTTTTGTCTTTGTGAATGTTAGGGGACGAGGTCCTTATATAGTTTATTTGGAAGCATTGTAATGAAGGCTACCATCCTAATTGGAAAGGGCTTATTCAGGAATTCAGTCTAAGTCTACGGTTGCAGTTGTCTTTCTGAATACATGCATCTCTTAAATTTCTAAAATACTTAAATTGTTTCATTGCCATATCTGCAGCAAGGTAATGAGCACATAAAAATACCAAACTAATGAATGCCCTTCTGCGTTTGCATCGAGAAGTGAGGTATTTACCTTTCTCCTGTATTTTTTTAGATAGTTTAAATCATGTACTTTGCATATAATTCAGTGACTTGACGGAATCGCAGCCCCAAGCTGGCTGCATGTGCAGCGGACTTATCTCACTTATCCTAATTCAGCCCTTGGTTTGGAGGAGTCTGCATCTTGTTGTGTCAGCACTTGCTTTTGGCCATTTATGGCTGGACTCCCGCCTTTTTCACTCCCTTCTTGCCAGTGTTCAAACTACTTCAATTCTGGCTTTGGGACCAAAGGAGACCTGTAGTTTGCTTTGTCTTCTGGTATGCACGATTTCCATTCTTGATTGGTTCTTTCATATTCTATTTGACACACAAAATTGGTAAATGTATTGTGTCAAGTGCTTGCTCTTGTCGTTGTATTGGCAAAGATTTAATTTGAGAACTTGGTTTTATTTTCTCTTCATTTCGTTGCCTGTTTGTCTTATTACAAATCCTGGAACATCCTGATGTTGAAAATGTCCTGGAACTGCGATATTTGACTATGGTTTTTTTTTTTTTTTTTTTTTTTTTTTCATCTCTTATGTATTGCAAGAATGATTTGTTTCCTGAAGAAGGTGTCTGGCATTGGAGGAATGGAATGCCCTTGTTGAGTGCTCTTAAAACAATGCTATTGGGTCGTTGTTGGGGCCTCAGAAAGAAGACAGGTTGATTGGTATCTAGAGCCTGGACACCTTGAGAAGCTGCTTAGCCAATTAGACCTCATCTTGACAAAATTGCACAGATATCCATCATTATGCTATTTCTGTATGTGTTCTTTCCCAAAACTGTACTTTAGAATTGATATCATTGTCTTCTGCGCTATTTTTGGAGGGTAGGGTGATTTTGCAACTTTGGAATTCTATATTGAATGGGAACTGTGTTATGTTTTTTTGTGCATGTCTGTGATTTATTATTCTTTAACAGGCATTGATAGTCATACAAGACATGCTTCGAGTTCTTATATACGCATTGCTTGCCTAAAACCTGAAAATGCTTCTGTACTTCTACGGCCTATATTATCATGATTCGTATTCGTGTTTTGACTCATCTTATCCATCAGAGATGGATGTATACAAGGTGATAATTTTTTTCCCTTGTTTCAGTTTAATAATTTGTCAAGTCTGTTGTGCTTTATATGTTCTTTCTCTTTTCAGGTTCACCGATTTCTGGATTTTCTTGCTTGCTTGTTGGAGCATCCATGTGCTAAGGTTCATTTACTGTCTCAATTCTCTTCAATTTCCCTCTCCTTCCAAATCATCTGCAACTTATCTTTTGTGCAATACTATTTTCTCTATCAGGCACTATTGTTGAAGGAGGAGTTCCTAATTCTAAAGAAGCGCTGGAGAAGTGTCTTGATGCCTGTGATGCAGATGAAAAACTGATTTTAGATGACGTAAATTCTGCCAAGTGTGGTTTTATTTGACTGGTTGGTGCCTCCCTGATTCAAGTCTATCTCACTACTTTGTAGCTCAATATTGCGTTCAGATGTGGGAGATGCTATGGATATATATTTGGATATTGCCTCCTCTATTGGGGCCATAATTCTTTCGCTTCTTTTTTGTCGCTCAGGTCTGTTAATGGCACCTTTGCTGTTGTTTATATCGGATTTGAAAACGTTCTGATATTTATGTAGCATGTCTTTTTTTTTTTTTTTTTTTTTCAGGGTTAATATTTCTACTACATCATTCTGAACTTTCTGCTACATTACTTCGTGCTCTGAGGGGGGTTGTTGATATTAGTAAAGAAGAGTGTGTTCCTCTTCGGTATGCGTCTATTTTGATGTCAAAGGGTTTTGCTTGTGGTCCACAGGAAGTTGCAACGATAGTAGAGATGCATCTGAGGGTGGTTAGTTCCATTTCTTGGTCGGGATGACCATTGCTCATTTGTGCCCTTTTTTTATTTATTTTTTAATTCCCTAAAATGTTTTTGATTTGTAATTTTCATTTCCAGTTTATAACTAAATCTTAGTATAATGTTTTTTCTCATGTTATGTCTCAGGCTAATGCCATAGATCGTTTACTCACATCAAATCCACACTCGGAAGAATTTTTATGGGTGTTGTGGGAACTGTGTGGCCTGTCGAGGTGGAACTTGCTTACACATTTGGTCAATGTTTAGAGGTTTTGATACAACATTACTGGTTTTGACTCTGCACCCTTTTGAAATGTTTTGTAGGTCTGATTGTGGACGCCAAGCTTTGCTGGTTCTGGGGTTTTTCCCTGAGGTATTGAATGGATGTGCTATTCACAGTCATATTTATTTTTTCAATCAGATACTCAGTACTCGTCATTTAGCCGATTAAAATTGAATAAGCCAGTTTTATGAACTTATCTTTGTAGTAGAATCATCTGGTGAAGTAGCGATTATTTTCCTTTACTTTCCTAATGTTACAATATACTGTTCTTATATGTAAAATCTGTTTACTACTCTATTCTGCTATTTGGGCATAGTTGTAAGTTTCTTGCTGGCAGCACTAAGCTTAAAAAGCCTGTTGTTATTTATGACATGAATTGCTCCTGAAAGAAGCTAATTTTAAAAACTCATGTTCCTACTGCAACCCTCAGTAACTTTTCCTCCTGTTGACGGTTGAATTTATTGTGTATAATGTCATTTTTCTGTATGGCACGTCTTTTTTCTGTATGGCTACTGCCTCTGACATGTCAATGTTCTGTAGGCTGTTTCAGTATTGATTGAAGCTTTACATTCTGCCAAGGAATTGGAGCCAGTAACTAAAAATAGCGGTAACACAATTGCTCTATGTTTAAGTTTGAACTAGGCGCATAGTTTCTGGTTTGTTTGTCTAATACGAGTGCATTGGATGAAATTTGGCTGTTCAGGAGCTTCACCTCTTAATCTTGCCATTTTGCACTCAGCTGCTGAGATTTTTGAAGTCCTTGTTACTGATTCAACTGCATTTTCTCTGGGTTCTTGGATCGGACATGCTAGGGAACTTCACAAGGCTCTACATTCTTCTTCTCCTGGGTCTAATAAGAAAGATGCACCCACACGTCTGTTGGAATGGATAGATGCTGGTGTAGTTTATCACAAAAATGGGGTTATTGGTCTCCTACGTTATGCTGCTGTGTTAGCTTCTGGAGGAGATGCTCATTTAACCTCAACCAGCATTTTAGTATCAGATATGATGGATGTTGAAAATGGCACTGGAGAACCTTCCAGTGGTTCTGATTTTAATGTTATGGAGAATCTTGTTAAAATTATTACTGAAAAGTCTTTTGATGGTGTAACCCTTCGAGACTGTTCAATAGCACAGCTGACAACAGCACTTAGAATTTTGGCTTTTATTTCAGAAAACTCAGTATGTAACTGTCCATTTTCAACCATATAGTAGTAATGTAGGGGTCTCATTTCACCATTGGTTTCCACTATTTCTCATTCTTCTTCTTCGTCTTCTTGGGTGTAGACTGTTGCTGCTGCCCTCTATGATGAAGGTGCTCTAATGGTGATCTATGCAATTCTAGTTAACTGCAGGTTCATGCTTGAGAGATCTTCAAACAGTTATGGTAAGTAATTGTGCATACTTGTCTTCAGTCAGTCAGTAATCTCATTATTGATTTTTTGTGGCATGTTTTTATTCTAATCAATAATAATCTGCCTTGCCTGATGGTTATCTGCATTATTAAAGCATTTGGTTTTGTTTTCCTCAACAGATTATCTTGTTGATGATGTTACAGAATGCAATTCTTCATCTGATTTACTATTGGAACGTAATCGTGAACAGAGTTTAGTTGATCTTTTGGTTCCGTCTTTGGTATTACTAATTACCATTCTGCAGAAATTACAGGTTTGTCACATTTTGAATTTGAGTCTGGTGTGTACTTGGAAGGATAATTTGTATTTGTAAAATGGTTTCTCTGACCATGTGATGCATTTTTTGTTATAAATGACAAGATGTCGTATGTGATATAGGGCATTATGGAGATGTTGTAAGGTTAATTAAGTCTTTTTGGTTTGTTAACTTTAGTGTTTGCTTTCATGAGGCGACATTTACTTTATTTTATTTTCCGATTCTGTTTGATGGCACCTATTGTACTCCTACATTGTTACTTAAGGAGTCTAAGGATCACTTGACATAGCTTCCAAGACATATTTCAATTAAGAGTTTGAGTTGTTTGATTGGCCTTTAGCTCAACTATGTCAATGAACAGATTGCAAAGATTGATCCTTGTCAGCTCAGTCCTTGGTACCTTCTTTGCTGTCATTTGTATTTCATGGTTAAATGGTCTGTAATGTGGAACTGACATCTGTAGTGAAGTTGGCCATGCTGCATTACTAGCTTCGACATGGCTCTTTCTGTGAACTTAGGCCCTTCAGATGATATGGGGTTGGTTTTAAGTGCTGATATTTTTTTATGGAATTTCCTATGCTCTTTTGTCTTTGTGAATGTTAACGGGGACGAGGTCCTTATATAGTTTATTTGGAAGCATTGTAATGAAGGCTACCATTCTAATTTGGAAAGGGCTTATTCAGGAATTCAGTCTAAGTACTACTGGTTGCAGTTGTCTTTCTGAATGACATGCATCTCTTAAATTTCTAAAATACTTAAATTGTTTCATTGCCATATCTGCAGCAAGGTAATGAGCAGCATAAAAATACCAAACTAATGAATGCCCTTCTGCGTTTGCATCGAGAAGTGAGGTATTTACCTTTCTCCTGTATTTTTTAAATAGTTTAAATCATGTACTTTGCATATAATTCAGTGACTTGACGGAATCGCAGCCCCAAGCTGGCTGCATGTGCAGCAGACTTATCCTCATCTTATCCTAATTCAGCCCTTGGGTTTGGAGGAGTCTGTCATCTTGTTGTGTCAGCACTTGCTTTTTGGCCAATTTATGGCTGGACTCCCGGCCTTTTTCACTCCCTTCTTGCCAGTGTTCAAACTACTTCAATTCTGGCTTTGGGACCAAAGGAGACCTGTAGTTTGCTTTGTCTTCTGGTATGCACGATTTCCATTCTTAATTGGTTCTTTCATATTCTATTTGACAACACAAAATTGGTAAATGTATTGTGTCAAGTGCTTGCTCTTGTTCTTGTTGTATTGGCAAAGATTTAATTTGAGAACTTGGTTTTATTTTCTCTTCATTTCGTTGCCTGTTTGTCTTATTACAAAATCCTGAAACATCCTGATTTGAAAATGGTCCTGGAACTGCGATATTTGACTAGTTTTCTTTTTTTCATCTCTTATGTATTGCAAGAATGATTTGTTTCCTGAAGAAGGTGTCTGGCATTGGAGGAATGGAATGCCCTTGTTGAGTGCTCTTAAAACAATAGCTATTGGGTCGTTGTTGGGGCCTCAGAAAGAGAGACAGGTTGATTGGTATCTAGAGCCTGGACACCTTGAGAAGCTGCTTAGCCAATTGAGACCTCATCTTGACAAAATTGCACAGATAATCCATCATTATGCTATTTCTGTATGTGTTCTTTCCCCAAAACTGTACTTTAGAATTGATATCATTTTCTTCTGCGCTATTTTTGGAGGGTAGGGTGATTTTGCAACTTTGGAATTCTATATTGAATGGGAACTGTGTATATGTTTTTTTGTGCATGTCTGTTGATGTTATTATTCTTTAACAGGCATTGATAGTCATACAAGACATGCTTCGAGTTCTTATAATACGCATTGCTTGCCTAAAACCTGAAAATGCTTCTGTACTTCTACGGCCTATATTATCATGGATTCGTATTCGTGTTTTTGACTCATCTTATCCATCAGAGATGGATGTATACAAGGTGATAATTTTTTTCCCTTGTTTCAGTTTAATAATTTGTCAAGTCTGTTGTGCTTTATATGTTCTTTCTCTTTTCAGGTTCACCGATTTCTGGATTTTCTTGCTTGCTTGTTGGAGCATCCATGTGCTAAGGTTCATTTACTGTCTCAATTCTCTTCAATTTCCCTCTCCTTCCCAAATCATCTGCAACTTATCTTTTGTGCAATGACTATTTTCTCTATCAGGCACTATTGTTGAAGGAGGGTGTTCCTGAAATTCTAAGAGAAGCGCTGGAGAAGTGTCTTGATGCCTGTGATGCAGATGGAAAACTGATTTTAGATGACGTAAATTCTGCCAAGTGTGGTTTTACTTTGACCGGTTGGTGCCTTCCTGTATTCAAGTCTATCTCACTACTTTGTAGTTCTCGAACACCTCTACAATACTCTGGGAGACATGATTTGTGAGTAGATGACAAGCTTTTTGTGATTTATTCTTTTTCTTTTTCTATCTGTCTTTTCTATTTCAAAATTCATTGCATTCATTCAAATTTTTTGATGGTTTTCTAGGTACAAGTTTGAAGATTTGAGTTCTGAAGATTGTTTGTTAATTGCTCCATACATCCTTAAGTTTTGTCAGGTATTTCCTTTTCAATTTAGATGAGGTTAAATATTTTTAAATGGTTCTTGCTGATACTTTCTTTGCAGCATTATCTTAGAATATGAATGCTGCTTTTTTATGAATTGCTTTCCTTCTTTCCAATGAATAAATGTTGGGTTTCAGTGTCAAAGACCTTGACATTTTATTCGATAATTAGATGACTCTGAAATTTTCCTTTCAGAATTTTTGTTAATTAATTTCCTCTATATGAAAATCAGAGAAATGTTTTACAAATTGTAGATTTAGAAGGAAAAAGTATTCGTGCTACATGAATTGTAATAGAGAATATCGATTTTTTCAGGTACTACCAGTTGGAAAAGAATTAGTCTTTTGTCTTACTGCTTTCAAGGAATTAGTTTCTTGCAATGGAGGTCAAAAGGCTTTGGTTTCTACTGTATGTAATACTCGCTCAACTCTTGAAGAACTTGATTCAGGGGGAAGACATGAAAGGAATGGGAACCTTAGTCTTCTTAATGAGTTTGAATGGAGAAAGAATCCTCCTTTATTTTGTTGCTGGACAAAGTTGTTAGAATCAATTGATTCAAAAGATGGCTTGTCAACTTATGCAATCGAGGCTGTCAGTGCTCTGTCTTTAGGTTCTTTGCGCTTTTGCGTGGATGGAAAAAGGTCAGTCTACCTTGATAATTTGCTACACTATGTATTCGTTGGCATACATTATAATATACTGTATACTAATGGTACAAATCCTTTGTTTGCATGAATATCTATCTTTCTCTGAGCTCTCTTATTTGTAAATAAGAAAATTATTTTCACTTTTATTTATTAGTTGTAGTTTCACTTACTTGTTTCTAAAGTCCCCCATAAATCTAGTCAAGATTTGCTATGGAAGATCAGAATCAGGAGCTGAACTTTCTTAGTTATGAGGGATACCTTGCTGATAGGAAAACTAGTTGAGCATAAGTAGGTATAAGAAAGTCTCCAAGAGAAGATATTATGACATGTTATCGTGGGATTAAGTAATCCGCTGCTCGAGCTTGTTCTCATGAGTATCAATTCATAAATAGATAATCTATATATGTCAAGGTATGTAAACAGTTACAATGAGATTGGTTGATATGTTGCTTGAGCTTGTGTCAAATCAAAGGATGAAAGATCCCTTCATTAGATATGACCTTTAACAAGATACTAAGTACTGACCAACTGAAGTAAGCTTCAGTAGCATTTTTCTGTGGATTTTCTTGGGTGCTTAACAAGATCGAAGCATCTTTGAGTGCATTTGTTTGTCCCCATGAACTTTTCATAGGAGTCTTGTTTGAAGGTTGTCTTCAGTTGTTTGGTTCTTCTATATGCTTTGAACTTATGAATGACTTGGAATTAAATGTGAAAGGAATATAGATGAATTTGAATGAAGATGACGAATACAATTTGATGGAAACTCTGACACTAATTATGCTGTATGTTGTTTCAAAAGATTAGTGTTGCTGGGTATTTTAGCAGAACGGAATATAAATTTTGGATGTAGAGATAAGAAGAAAAATCAACATGCTGTAGCTGAGTTTAAACTTTTGGGACTTTCCAATTTACTTTTGATTGAGGCAGAGAATAGCTTAAGTTAATTGGAATTTATATATTCTTTAAACTAGTTAGTACTTTTGTGTATCTAGTAGAAGAGAAGAGGAGAGGGGGAGGGACTTGGAGAGTTAGGAGAAAGCTTATATAACATTCTAAGATATGAATTTAAAGTATGCAAACACAAGTATAGAAATATGCACAGTTATGTAAGATCAGCCTGTGCTTTACAGAGTGACTGCTGGTAATATTTTTTACCAGTGGCTTGTGATTGTTTCTTATTCTATTTGGACCTTTATTTTGTGTTTTGAATTCTTATGATATTCTGACCAGCTTTAGATGACTTCTTGAGAGTAATCTCTTCGTCTTTTTCATTTCTTTCTTTCACCTTGCTTCATCATTTACAACTTTGGTTCAAACTACAATTTCTGATCATATATTACATAGAGCTACTCTTGGGTCCTTTAATTGGCTTGATGTCATTTCACTTGCTTAACATACGGTTTGCCTGTTAATTAGTTTGAACCTGGATGCGGTTGTCGCATTGAAATATCTTTTTGGGCTTGCTGATGATGATAAGAGTGGGACTGAGGGCTTTTCAGAGGAGAACATAAATTACATACAGAAATTGGCTACTGTTTTGAATTCAAATATCAATGATGAATATGACTTTTCAGCGAACCCTGATATACAGACCACTTTGTCTCAGGTGAGTACTGTAACTTATGAATCTGTCTTTCCTAATTTCCCTTTTCTTTAAAAAAAAAAAAAAAAAAAAAAAATTCTTCTGAATTATTGATTTTACAGGTTTCAGAGTGTGTGAAGGCATTGTTGTTATTGTTGCAAAATCCTACTGGTTCGGTTAAGGCTGATGATATCATCTTCAATGAAGGAATGCTTTCGTCACCCAATGATGGTCTATTTCCTTCAAATATACATCAGATGGCAGATGATGGCATTGAGAACCCTGATGACAATCTTTACTTGGTAGGACTTGAAGACAAGTTTTCGTGGGAGTGTCCAGAAACATTACCTGAGAGATTGTCACAAACAACTCTTCCTGCAAAAAGGAAAATGCCTCCAGTGGAAGGCTTGAGTAGGCGTTCTAGGGGAGAAAACTCACTGGCTGAAACAACCCAGAATACATTTTCACGTGGATTGGGTCCGTCTACAACATCTTCTGGTCCTACTCGGAGGGATACCTTTCGGCAGCGCAAACCAAACACAAGCAGGGCCCCGTCTTTGCATGTGGATGACTACATTGCGAAAGAAAGGGGGAGTGATGGTGCCACAAATTCTAATGTTATAGTAGCTCAGCGAGTGGGATCTGCTGGTGGACGAGCTCCATCAGTGCATGTTGATGAATTTATGGCTAGAGAAAGGGAGCGCCAGAAACGTATAGTAACAGTAGTTGGAGAGGCAGCAGCACAAGTGAAGATTGCAGCTCCTTCAAGTGACACCCAGAAAGAAAAAGTTGACAAATCTAAGCAGTTGAAGCCAGTTCTTGATGATGATCTTCATGGAATTGATATTGTCTTTGATGATGAGGAATCCGAACCTGATGATAAATTACCATTCCCTCAGTTGGATGATAATCTACAGCAGCCTGCCTCTGTCATTCTTGAGCAAAATTCTCCACGCTCAATTGTGGAAGAGACAGAGAGTGATGTTAATGAAAATAGTCAATTTTCTCATATGGGTACACCATTAGCATCTAATGCAGATGAAAACACCCAGAGTGAATTTTCTTCCAGGATGTCAGTCTCACGCCCTGAAGTGCCACTGACTCGGGAACCAAGTGTTTCTTCAGATAAGAAATATTTTGATCAACCTGATGACTCAAAGAATGTTTTTAACATTAAGACCTCTAGTGGTTTTGATTCTGGGGCAGCAGCAAATAGTTCTGGGTTTCCTGCGTCTCTCTACAATGGTGCAACACTATCATCCATACCACTTGATTCTAGGATGACTTCACAAAATTTCTATCGAAAGAACAGTCCCCAGCATGCTGGTAATATTCCAATGGGTACTGGATCTCGAGGACTTTATGACCAGAAAGTTATGTTGAATCAACCACCTTTACCTCCAATGCCACCTCCACAAACAGTCTCACCTGTAGTATCTCAGGCTTCTGATTCTATCCCAAGTCAGTCTTCCCCATTTGTAAACTCTATGACAGAATCACAGCTACCAGTGCCTACAGCATTTCAAGTGAGATCCCTGCGCCCCACAAAGGGCTTGCAGTCTCCTCTCTTGCTTTTGTACTTGCATTTTGTGTAATCGCTGAATCTTTTTTTTTTTTTTTTGTAGGTTCAACCAGAATATCTATCAGCATTTAGTGGCAGTAATGCACCTTTATCATCTTCCCATACTGGTGGATCTGCTAGGCCTCCACTTCCTCCAACACCACCTCCGTTTTCTTCTAGCCCTTATAATTTACCATCATTAAAACCTTCTACTCCTCAGATGTCCATATACAATCAGACAAGTGTTGCAATGACTGAGCTGCCCCAGGCCCAGAGCTCTGTTTCTCCTATAATTGATGCACGGTTAAGCAGTGTTTCTGCATCAGCTGCTGGACTAAATTCTTATGCACCACCTCCCCTCATGCCACCCTTGGTCTTCAGTAGGCCAGCTTCAATCCCTGCAACTCTTTATGGAAGCTCTCCAGCTCAGCAGCACGTTGACAACCCACAAAATATCATGCAGAATCTCTCCATTCCTCAGCCTTCCATTCAGTCAATGCATACCCTAGCACAGTTACAGCCATTGCAGCCCCCGCAGGTTCCACGTCCTCAGCAACCACCTCAGCATCTTAGACCACCAATGCAAGCATCACAATCATTGGATCAAGGCATGTCTCTGCAGAACCCTGTACAGATGCAAGGCCATCCATTACAGATGCTGCAACAACCACAAGTTTCTCCAATTCATACTTATTATCAATCCCAACAGCAAGATTTAACAGCAGCACAACAACTGCAAGTTGAACGTGCCCAATCACAAGTTTTACATCAGCAAGGGGATATTGCATTCCAGCTGCAACAAGATTCAGGAATGTCATTACATGAGTATTTCAAGTCCCCAGAAGCTATTCAGGTATTTTTTTCCCTTTAATTATTGCGAAATACTTCATAGATTTATTGCTTTGTACTTTGTGTAGCTTGTAATATGTCTTGAAGAAATTTCATGGATTCATCCTGATTATTGTTGTTATGTTATGATGGCAGTCTTTGTTGAGTGATCGGGATAAACTTTGCCAGCTTTTGGAGCAGCATCCGAAATTAATGCAAATGCTTCAGGTTATTATCACCTCAAAGACATCTTTCTTCACATGTTTCCGCTTTTATGAAACCAGTGCTTGATTGAATTTCTTTCAGTTAGACCTTGATTAATAGTATAATTATGAGCGCATTTAGTGATGGTAATGTTGTGATCATTGCCACTTGTCATGGTGGGGGTCTTGCTAGTTGTGTGAGAGGGATTAGTAAAGAATGAATAATATTCACAAGTAGTCAGATTAATTTTTTATTGACTGTCAGAATAGTTAGTATTAATTGGATGACTCACATGAATAATTTCCCACAGCAGTTACATATATCAGTTTAAGGCGCTTCTTCCGGAACTGCATATTAGCATTTCCTTTGATCCTAAACTTGCATGTCATTGCTGACGATTTCCTTCCTCTTCTTTCTAACAAGATTAGGATTCTTTTGCATTACTTTTCTGATTCATATTTTACGAAACTCTAATGCTTAAGTTTCGGTTGTCTTCTTGTCTTACAGGAAAGGTTGGGACAGCTATAGCAGAGATATTGTCGAAGACCTTACTTCACGTCGGAGAACGCTTTAGACCTGTAACACCAGCGAGTTAAGGTTCCTTTCAAGTCCATTATTTTGTGTTGTGAAGGGCACCTCCTCGTTCGATACTGCTGCCTTCCATGAGACAATCATTTTTTGTCCAACAAACAATCTTTGTATTATCCATGTACTATATATATGTACATTTCTTTCTCTAATTAACTTTACATCCCTTCTTTTATCTTATTATTTCTGATCTGTAGCTCAATTCGTTTAAGCTGATAAAATATAGATGGGCTCTATAAGGCTGTGTAAAACTGTGGAACTTCTTGTCTGGTTCTGGTTAACCCAAAATCGCCATTGTTGTGTACTTGTGTTAGTGCTTTGTACAGTAGTACATTTTTGGCATGAGATGTAAATATCTACCTGGGGAATTTATTTATGAAGCTTTGTACACGCTGTATTATACACTAACATAATCTTTAGAAACCTTTAATAAATTAGAATAAATCATAATCACTTTGGAAATGAATTTATCAAGCATCCTCAAACTTTTAGACTCATGGATTTTTTTCGTGGGAAGTACTACTAGTAATTATTGTTGCTTCACTTGCTTGGTTTTTATTTCAATCCTCTATATATTTATTATAGTTTATTAAAAAAAATATGTTTATATGATGAATATCTAGAATGTCTAGGATTTAAACAAACCTCAAGTTTTAACAATATTTTCTCGAATATAGAGAGTGAATCAAATCTGTTTTTGAATGGGTTTATGTCTTTATGATATTTTGTTTCCACTTCATTTAGAATATTTCAAAAACCCCTTAAAAAAATATCAAAAATCTTCTAAAAAGATATTTAAAACCTCTTTAAAAATATTAAACACTCTCCTACAAAATTATCAAAAGCTCTTTAATTTTTTTTTGAGCCAAGCAAATTACTTTAATTCTAAGTGATCGCATATTCAGTGTTTTAAAACCCAGCTAGTTGAACTGATTGAATTGGGACTCATGGCCTTCACTGGGTCAGGTTACTAATTTTACTATTCATCAAAAACCGTAGAAATTTGGACAATGATCGACGAACAACTGAAGGTTGGGAGGGGGGTTTTGAAGAGAAAGGGCCGGTGAGTGAAAAGATGGCGACGAATGTGATTTTCGATGAATGAATCGACCAAAAATCGTAGAAATAAATCAACGAAAACATCGGACTGTTACCAACAATTGGTGAGGTAAATGGGAGAGAGGTGAGATGGGTTTATTTTTGCTACTAAAACCCATCTGTTTTTTAATAGGTTTATGATTGTTTCCATTTCATTTAGAATCTTATAGAAGTCAAAAACCCCTTAAAATAAAAATAGGCATTAACCTGAGCTAGAAACGAGTTACACATCAACATCAGTAAGATTCTTAAAAATAAGGAAAGAAATTACTATAATATGAGGTGGAATCAGAAAAATAATTAAAAATATTAATCCTCGAAATTGCGAAGCATAATAAATTTAAGAAATCTGCATGATCCAAGAAGCACACGATCCCACAGATACTAATTTAAGAAAATTCTACTACCGACTTTCCATTGAGACATTCCTTCTTTAAGAAACACTTTTTATCATCTTCTCTTTTTTTATTATTATTATTTTTTTCCGTTTTCTTTTTCTTTTCATATCCCTTGGTTAATTGGGTATAACTTATTTTATTAAACCCAATAATTATGATTTCAAATTACAAAATATAAGACATTCAAATAAAGAAGAAATTCATTGTCTGAACAATCGTTCTTAGTTATATATCGTGATAAACATATTGAATACATATAAGTTTATTTTATTAAAATCAGTTGTGAGATTCGATCGCATTGATTGATTAAACGCATATATATTTATCTTATTAAAGCAAAATGATATATTAATTATAACAGAAAAAAAAAAAAAAAAAATTGGATGAATAAATTGAGGCCATTCAGGTGAAAATCACTACAAATCCCGACGAATGCAAACCCTAGAAACACATTTATTATCCTATCGAAATCTAAACCCCCACTTTACAAGATTAATAAGCCGGTTTTACATGAAATGAGAACATTAGTTTAGTTTAATTTAAATTAAATTAATATAAATCCATTAATCCCGTCTGCTCTTACAAGAAACTTGAATGATATTCTCGAGGCATTTGTTTCCTACACTTCCTTCATTTCCACTAATAACAACCCGCCACGTATTGAAAACACCGACACCTTGTATTTTGCCTCCGGGGGTGCTACCATTGCTTGTCATCCCATCGTCCTTCACGGCACCGGAACCCCAACTTGCCCTTTCTTCTGTCATTCTCACGTGCATGCTCGACCTTCATTACACATTTCCAAGACCCCATACACTTTCATGCATTTGCTCTTTGACTTCGCCATTCATATTTTCTCAGATACGGACGTCCGTATTTTTGTAATATATGTTTAATATAAACTTATAAATACGTAAACTCAATATTGAATCAAGATTTTAGTTTTAAAAAAATTGGTTTATAATTAAATATAATGTACACATGGCTCTTTATTATAACCCCATGAATGTTAATTAGTAATTTAATTATAAATGTTTAAATGTAAATTAAGTAAATAGGAGCACACCCAGACTCAACATTGAATTCAGTTTTACGTAAAAAGATTTTCAATTTATAATTAAATACTGAACAAGTAGATTCCGTCAGTACTCTTTATAAACCCTAATTAACATTCTCCCATTCTCTTCAATTCACACAGAATCTCTCTCTCCAAATGATCAAGAAATCGAGAGAGAGAGAGAGACTTGAATGAAGTCTATGAATTTGAAAAGCCATTAATGGTGATGATGGAGAGAGGATCAATATGGAAACCTAATGTTGAAATGTCACCAAATTGCCCTCGTTGTGGCTCTTCAAATACCAAATTTTGTTACTACAACAACTACAGCTTAACTCAGCCAAGATACTTCTGCAAAGGCTGTAGAAGATACTGGACCAAAGGTGGGTCCCTCCGGAATGTCCCCGTCGGTGGCGGCTGCCGGAAGAACCGAAGAGGTAAGTCCGTAAGATTATCCACTGATGATGATCATCATCATCATCACAACAATAATGCAGTTCCTTCAAAGGGTTTCGCATTTGGGATTGCAAATGAAGCCATTTCTTCACATTCTAGTGGAAGCGAAATTAATAGCAATACTTCAAGTCCGGGTTCTTCCGGTTCACATATTGATCTTGCTCTTGTTTATGCAAATTTCTTGAATAATCAACAGCCAGATAATTCCAAGGCGAATAATTCTTGTGCTTTCGAATCGATAATCCAAGAATTTCCGGGTGAATTCGATCCATCACTCGAGTTTTGCACAAATTTGGATGCTACTACTACCAATAATAATAGAGTTCAAATGATACCAGCAGCTGAAGATCAGAATTGTAATAATAATGATCAAATTTATTACAATTCTGTATTTCAAGATCAATCAATATTGCCGCCACTGCCGAGTACTGAAGATCAAATGTGGCTGAATTCACAAATAATGGTGAATCTGAATCATAATCATCAAAGTTTGGAAGCAACAACACCAGAACCGTTGATTGGACCTGGTATTCATCATCATCATCAAGCGGTTCAAGATCCAAATCTTTTATTTGGGAATTGGAGTCCATTTGATTTCTCAAGTGATGACACTTTCACCAAGACTTGAGAAATTAAATTTTGATTTTACATTAAAGTTTTTTCTTTTTCCTTTTTTCACAATATATAATTATGTATAGATCAATCAGATATACGATTAAGTATATCTGATTATGGTACCTGTGCTCAAGCTTTTCCAATTTTCCTGGGGAAAAAAAAAAATTAGAGGTACTTTTTTTGTTCAATTCAGCTCAAAGAGGTAAATAATACTATATATTATAGTTTAAAATTATGCTTTATTTACAGAGATTTAATCTTTGGAAATGATAATGTTACTTATCTTATTCCAATTAATTCATTTCATCTTTTTGTCTTTGTTAAATTGAGATATTTTATAAACAATTGATTAAGTGATTATATCTATTAATTCATCCTTATAAGTTCTAATATTAAATTCAAACCTATTTTTTTAAGTGATTAAACAGAAAATTACTCTTATATTTGATGAGTAGACAATCATTTTAAAAACTAATAATTAAAATAAAATAATAATATAACAAATATATTTTGATAAAAAGAGTTTAAATCCCAATTTTATGATATTACTAACATACATTAATTAAATCTCAATAATTAATTAAATTAACAGTCCTGCTGGACTGTCTATATATTTTTAATGAGCCTCCTAATTTCAACTTGATATTCATCCTGAAAAATGAATTTAAATTCCAAATATATTATAGATACGAAAGTTATTTATAATTGGTCCACATGATGATGCTCAAGTTTGAAAAATTCAAGAGTAAACATTACATTATATGCATCCAATCCAAACTTCTGAAATTCAAATTAAAATCAAATATATGTATTTTATGTTTGTTTGGTGGGAAAATTTCAACGTTTCATTAAATTAAAATTTAATTAGCTTAGAAAGTTGCGAATGGTAGCTACAACACATGATCCCAGTAATGCACGCCCAAGATCCAAGAAAATAACTAACTTCAACCATCATCTTATTTAGTGTCGACAATCTTATCGGATAAAGAGTCTAAAATTTTGCTTAATGGATTATGTTAATTTAATTAAATTAATCATATTTTTTAGTTTAAGAGAAAATAATCAATCCTATTAACCTTAATCCTTATTGACTATTGGTTACTTTGATGACTGTATTGTCTCTACTTATACGATTTTAAATTCATCGTATTCTTCTTATATCAAATTCATTCTTAATGTGTATGTATGTCCTCAGAATATATGTTAAAGAACATTAAAAAAAAATTACTTATTGTGATGCATATTATGTGTAAATAAACAAAAAACTCGATTTCTAATTGTCTTCTGATGTCCATAAATGTATACGTGAGACAAAGATAAGAATAATAAATGAACACAAAGAAAAAAAACAATTTATGTAATGCATATAGAGTCTGAAGAGTCACAATCCAAATGTGAACATTTTAATTACAATAAAAATTGACTCGTAACCTAATTTTACAAACTTCATTTTACAATTTCATCGTGGCAACTCGCAATTGGTCAACTCGTAATTTAATAAGTGAGACCCATTACAAACTAGCTAATTATGAACTACTACGTTGAAATTGTGAAAAAAAAAATTATGAGATTATGTTGTAAGTGTAGTATTACCCTTTCAATTAATAACCAATTAATTAAAGCATAATTGTTCAAAATTTAATATTTACAATAAAGATTGACTCAGAACCCAATCTTACAAACTTTATCTCACAACTCCATCATGGCAACTCGTAATTGGTCAACTCGTAATTTAACAAGTGGGATCCATTGCAAGCTAACCAATTATGAACTGTTACATCAAAGTTGTGGGAGAAAATTTGTGAGATTAGGTTGTAAGTATAGTATTGCCCTTTTAATTAATAACCCATTAATTAAAGCATAATTGTTCAAAATTAAATATTATGAACTTAACGGATTAATCATGATTCATAATTTCGATTGTAATCATAAATAAAATTGCATTTTTTATTTTTTATTTTATTTTTTTTATGATCAGGGTGTCCGAGCCAGCTTGCAGATATTTCGGCCAATCTCCAAAGTCTATTGAAAGTCCTACAAGCCTAATATTATCAACTAATCCCCAAGGCCCATTGCACACCCTACAAACCCAACGTTCTAAGGTAAACCACAAATATGGTAGGTGACTTCAAGGTGATTTGAATAAAAAAAGTCAATGAAAGAAGTAAACCTTCTTGACCCCAGACCAACCCCTTTAAGTTAAATGACATTATTTTCGTTGACATGAATGAATGGTGTAGTTTCAATATATAGTCTTTGAAAAATTAAAGTCTAAATCAAAATGTAGTTAATTAATTAAAGTCTTAATTAAAATTTAGCTTCTAGAAAATTGAAGAACATAATTAGGAATAAATTGCATTCACACTTTAAAATTGAAACTTGTGTCTTCTGATTTAAATGTTCTCAACAAACGATGACAGTTCACATTCATAACATAATAAATATATCCTTCATTACATTTAACTAAAAAAATATGATCTTTTTGACTTGTAAAAATACAATCCTTAAATTTATTTATTCTTCAGTACTAGAAAACTTAAGTATGACTTAATTATATTAACATACATATTAATTAATTATACTTATATAAAATTAATAGAAAAAAATTTATATTCAGAGAACTTTAGACTAAACATTTTTAAAAAGAAATTCAAATGACCACCTAAAGTTCAGTGACTGGTCATGAATGAAGACAAATGGAGAGGGCACGCGGCGAACTCACTTGTAAAAGTGATATATATAATATTAGTGTCAAAAATAAATGAATTTTATGTTGATAAATTAAAAGTATATTCGTAATAATAAATACCGAATTTTTATGTTATCAATTGAAATATATTAGATAATATATGCATGATTAGGTTTTAGGGTCCCATTTTTTTATTTTTTTAACATAAGTTTTAATGCAAAATTTGAACAACGTTTAAATGATTGAAATTAGATTTAAATATGATATTTTTAAAGTACATTATTATATAAATTGTATTGGATTTATAATAGACTTGATGAAATTAAATTAACTGATCTTGGGTCAAAACTCTAGAGAGAAAGACATTAATCAACTGTATTAATTTTCTGATCAAAACTTAAACTGGCCATTAAATTAATCTGGAGTGACTTAGTTGACGGTTGAGATTGATGAATTAGAAAGGGTACGAAAATGGTAGCTGGTGTGAACATTCAAAGTTCATAGGGGCTGGGTATAGTTTCATTTACTTTGGTGGGAGAATGGACCAGCCACAGAGTGATTAAAATACATACAACGAATCAGCAGCTAGCCTTTCACCTTCAAGACAAAAAATATAAATATATAGAAGAAAAATAATTATATTTCAATTGACCCCGACCGATGGAGCCGCCAAATGGGGTATGTTCAAAGGTGGTTTGCGGCCAAGTTGAGTGGCATTATTGGACCCAAATTTTTATCTTCAAACCATTCATGCACCTGCTCTGCAGCTTCTAGGGTTTGATTTTTAACTCGTTTTTAGATTCACTGCTGAAATCTACAGTGGTCTCTTTAGAGTGTAGACCAGTTTAGCCTTATCGAATTTGTATAGTTAATTTCTTTATCTTATTTTAGTTAAAAGTTCTAAACTTCTTATAATTTCTTGTAAAATCTACTTTTCTTTCTTGTTTAATTTTATTACTAACTAATAATCGATTTGGTTTTTGCTTAGACAAATTTTATATTAAGAGATGAACTTTATCCAAAATTATGTTGAACAAATATAAAATTTGTAATACAAATTAATCTATACGATGAATTGTAACGTAAAATGAAAGATTCATGATATGCAACAAAAAATTATAATATTATTGTAAATTTTTAATCATCAATATGACATGGTTATGGTAAAAGAACAAAAGAAGATTTCTAAATTCTTAAGTTAGAGTCTCTCCATACGCTAATAGGGGTAACCACTGGAGGATTACCTGATTGAACTTTTAGGATTTCGAAAGATTAATTGAAATACGTGCAAACTAGTCCGGACACCCCCAGTAATTAAGAAAAATATATATATGACATGGTTATATATCTATGAGATGATCTTCATTCAAATTTGTTTTCACTCCTGTCAATTCTAAACTATGCAAAATTCAAAGTCTTTTTGGATTGTCAATACCACTGCATTTCAATCAAATCATCCATCTTTCTGTAAATTCAATAAATTCACATCAAATTTTTCTCTAAAAGGTAAAGATGATAACATAGATGAATATTACTCGTATTATAACTCATTCCCATATAAATTTTTTACTTCAAAGATCATTAAATGCAAATTGAAATTAAAAACAAAAATTGCATTTGTCACGAAACATTTAGTGGACACAACTTTTGATTCATCTAAATCTGTTTTTATAATTGTATAATCAACAACTTATATACAAAAAATGGAAAATAAAAGTAAAATAGAGAAAAAAGTGAATCAAATTGATGATTCTCTTCCTCTCCTTAACGATCTCACTGAATCAATCAAGCTACTGGATATGATACAACCAAACTATTCGGTATACATGGAGAATTCTTCCATGCCCGAGCGTGATTTTTCAGTATTTCTCTAGCTTTATCTTTCGTCTTGTTGCTACAATCAACTTGAAGCACCAAACACAATTTCGCCACAACACCAATCTGCAACATCTCTTGAAGAACACCGGGGGTCGCCGAGAACTTCGAAATGGAAAGCAAAATCCTCACAGCCCTTTCACTCGCCACCTGCGAAACCCTAAGTATCTTCTTCGATACGATGGCCATTCCCGCCCCGTGCTTCAACAGCTCGGCTCTTCCTTCCGCACATTGGCAAAGAAAATCAATCGTCATTAGCATGAGCTCGCAATCCCGCCTCTCGGATTTCTCCAAGAGAAGATCGATAAGGATCGAAACGGCGCTGGCTTCGACTGCTTTCACTCGGTTCCTACCCCATGGAAGAAGATTGATGAGTGATTGCAGTGCGGCTTTTGAGGCCTGGTGGGAGATTTGGTCACGCAAAATTTGGATGATTTCGATGAAGAATTGGGGGCTTAAGTTTATGAGATGGATGGGATCCGCCACTTCAAGCATTGATTTCAGTAACAAAACTGCATAAGCTCGAGACTCGAAGGTTCCACGTTGCATGATTTGTGTCAACGATTCAATAAATCCCACATTTTTGTTCAAGAGATTCTTCAACCCGATGTCGGATAATTGAAGATTGCACAAAATGCTTAAGGCTTCATCGCTCAGCCGGGTGAAATCGAATCCGTCTCCGTTTGATTCTTCAAAAGATACAAAATAAGTGTTGCTCATCACAATCGACGCCAAGAACTCGACCGCGCCTGCAGCCTCAAAGCAGCGTTTGTTTGTATCATTTTCCGAAGCGATTGATCTCAGTCTCCTCAGGCACTTAACCTGCAACTGCGGCGATGATTTTGCATCTCTTATGAGCTTTGAAATCTGAGCTTTGTTGATCGGCGGCTTCGGCGTTGGAATTCTTTCAATGCCATAAGAAGCGTTGAGAGTACACCACGATTGAATCAGCCGCCGAACAGTGTGATTCGGGGTCAACTCACAACAATCGGTTGACAACACTTGTTTTGTCACCGGACAAGTATTATTTTTGCCGGAAAATAACCATTTCTCGATGCTTTCACGATCATAAGTAATCCCCGTTGCCACCGTCACCGGATCTTTCATGATCTCCAAAGAGATTGGGCACAGAAAATACTGCGGAACATCAATTTCCTCCATGAATTTGAACCTAAAAAGAAACTTGTGATACTTTGAATTTCTTTTAGAGAACTAGATTCAAAGTATGTGAGAGAAGTTAAGTTTGTGAATTGGTTGTGGCAAAGAGAGGATTAGGTTTTATAAATATAAGAGTGAGATATTCAAAAGCACAAAGTCAAAAACACGGAAGAAAGAGAAGGGAGGGATTGAGATTGACTTTTCAAAGAGAAGAAGAAATTAGAAAAGCTCAAAATTTTAATTAAGTACCAGGTCACAAACGGCTGATTGATTTTTATTTTTATTTTTTTTGGATTTAATTATGAATTTTTAATTTTTGCATGTGATAAATAAGATGGGTTTGACTTTCTCTGTCTAAGAAGAGAAGAGTTGTGTTTGTGTTTGCCGTTTGGTTTCTCTGTCAACATCGTGTATTGTCTGCGTTGAGTCAGTTGCAGCTGCCGACAAAACATGGAACCTGAGTGCCTTTCGTGGCTGCTGCCTTTCACTCTTTAGTTCTACTTCCTTTGACCAACAGTGTATAAAGAATTCCATTTAATATTTCATTAAAATTAATCATGTTTATTTAGCTTTGATTTTTTTTAATTAATCTAATCACAAAGATAAAGAGAAAATGTGGGGAAGTGAAACAAAATCTCGCTAATTAATTAAATTTTTTTATAAAGATTATTAATAAAAATTTAAGTCATGTTCGATATAGATTTTAAATACATTATTTTTTAGAAAATAAAAAATACAACAAATTTTAGGGCATGCATTTGATAGATATGAGTTGAACCGTTTTTTAAAACAGTTTTTGAATATAATTTTAAAAATCAATGTAAAATTATAAAACGATTAAAAGTCGTTTTTACAATATTATGTAGTTTTTAATAATAATAAAAAATTTAATATTATATCAAACACATTTTTATATATTCAAAATATTAAGATACAACAAAAAATTTAAATCTTATTATTGTTTTCAAAAATTATATTTCTTAGCACAAAATCAAATAGATTCTTAATATTTTAGGATAAGAAATTTGGATGATATTGTTTTTTTGGCATTTTTCCTACGTGAAAATACTAGATACAGCTTTAGACAAAAAATATATATCACAAGTATTTCGTGGTGGCAATCATTGATGGAAACTTTTAATTATATTATTCTAAAAATATAAAAAAATAAAAAGTTTTATTTAAAACGGTAGGAAAACGAAATTTTTTGGTGCACGCAGTGGACAAATCTATTCCACTTGATTAATTTGAAAAACACGTGGATGTATCTGGTATAGCAAAATTGGTCAACAGTCAACCCTCAATCTCATGTAAAGGCTTTTGACCATATAATTATAGATGAAGTGTCAAAGGTTTTATTTGTTTTAATTTTGTGGCAGATACGTGTAAACTAGCCAATTTATTTGTTTAATTAATTAATGATATTTAATGGGTTACTTTCAATTTTGGTCGAAGCTCGTGAACTGTATCTGATTCATGGTTAGATCAACTAATCGTTGGAGGAATTAATTGAAATTAGATTTTCAATTGGTAATTAACTCATCAAATGTGATTTAATTTTATATTAAAAAGCTCAAAGGTTGGGGTTTTTTAGAAGCTCATTTTAATCATATTTAAAATAGATTAATATCCTCCATTATTCGATATGATTCAATAAGATTTAGTTTTATTTTATTTAAGTAACCGAGTTTATGCAATTGAAATGATCTTATAATCAAATAAAAAATCATTTAATAAGGTTTACATTAGTATCGAGGACTGAAAATAATATATAATACACATTAATAATAAAAATTGGATTGATTGTTGGGATCCTTCCTTAATTTCTTAATTTCATTTTTGAAACGGAATAACAAAAAAAAATCATATCAAGTCCTTAAATAATTTTTTGGATATTTTTCAATAATTTAAAACCGATAAGGTTTGTTCTATTTATTAACTTCGTGGATTTAAATCACTTTGGAACTATCTATTACATTTATAGTTTAATTTGAACATTAAACTTTTATCGTATTCAATGAACTCTGATGATTAATTGAAATACATATAAACTGATCGGATACCTCGATAATAAAATACAAAAAAACCGATAAACTCTTTTACTTGAATCAAACTAAATAATAAATAAATAATTTTATGCTATTATAAAATTCACTACAGTAATCTCCACTATAATGCGGCCAATCCGGACAATATTACTTAATCAACTGCTTAATTACCATGTGATCAAAATTGAGAGACAGTTGTAGCACACGGCAACTGACTGGACGTGTTCCATGCACTTCCGCCGTCAATAAATAAAACATGCTTATCTTCAACATTAATAATTAATTGGATAAGTGAGGACGTCACGAGACTCAAGACAACCGGCTCCAAAAGCATAAAAGGTCACAAAAATTAATGTGAAATTAAGCCAAAAAAGGAATAATTGAATTTCGTCAAAAGAATAATTCTTTTACTTTACTGCTTTATCAATTTATATTTTGTGTGGGCGCGAGGAGAGGCTCGCACGTTTGCATTATCATAGCCGTGTGATTCTGAAAATATATATATATAATTTCTCAATTTATAAGTCATTTTCTTCTTTGACTTTTTTATTGTTTTATTTTTGGAGTGAAGTTCAACCATCCAAAATAGAGTTTTGAATTAATTTAAGGTCAATGGTTTGCCACCGCCAAATTTTGCAAAGAGGGCAACACAAAATAACAAACAATCAATGCACATCTTATCACAAGACAACCCATAAATAAGGGCGGAAACAAAAGCCTATACAATACTAAATAAAAAATAAACATTTCTTTCTATCACAAGACTGGCCTTGGATTAGGAAAAAAACACATGCGAAAACATACCAGCAATGAAGCCACCAAAAACCTATCTCATGACAAGCTTGGGTTAGGCAAAAAAAAAAAAAAAAAAAAAAAAGAAGAAACAGGGCAATAATAATGTAATTATTTTACATTTATTTGACTCTACTTTTTTTTTAGTATTGTATTTTTATGTTTTTGGTAGTAAATAAATAAAAAATAATGTTTGTCAAATTCAATTAAGTGCTTACCAATGGTGTTTTATGTTTTTTTTTTTTTGGATACGTGTCTAGTTGTAGTCCACCAAATGAGTTTGAATTCAACAATCTTGTGGTTATAAATTATACGTGGTGTTGGTATGAATATAAATGCTTCATTGTGTTTACTATATCTTTTATTAGTTTTATAGTATAAATATTTATTTTATTTTGACAAAAATTATTTAAAATTACACCATAAAATCAACAATTAATATTAATTAAATAGAAATACGATACAAAAATATAAAAGTTTGTTAGAAGTTGAAATTTAAACAAACATATTATAAAATTTCTATTAATTAAATAGAAAGACAACAATATATATATATATAAGAATTTTGTTAGAAGTTGAAAATGAAACAAACAATTTTCAAAAAAAATTAGTGATGTATGCATTTAATCAAATGGCTGTTCAAAATAAAATATTGTTTACAAATAGCCGAATAACCATAATAAAATTGTATATAACAAAAAATCAAAGAAATAATAATAATAATATATTTAATGTGAACGATTTATTTTAAATTAACTATTTTTGGGTGACCGAGTGGTTCGATAGAGACTCTGAAATGTATTACTTAAGAGATTCTGAGTCCGAGTTTCTTCTCAATTGTTAACAAGGATAGCCACTGGAGCTTTTACCAATCAGTAGTTCCAAAGTCTTAGGGGATTAGTTGAAGAGTGTATGAACTGGTCCGGACAACCGACAAACCCGGTCATTAAAAAAAAAATATATATTTTAAATTTAAATCTCGTTTATTAGTGCTGGCCGGTTTAAGGATTTATTTATATATGTGTGAATTTATTGTTATTTTTTCAATAAAGTTGGGTCAACAAATATGATGAACTAAGACGAATGTGGACTAAACAATTGAGAAAAGATAAACATTCTTCTCTTGATTAATGATTTCCATTATAGACTAATAAAGCAAATATTAAATATTAAGTAATTATACTATAATTAGGTTATAAATTTTACTCATGGGGAAACCTATAAATGCTGCATGATTAGATCATAACATAACAATCACATTTATTTCCCTACTTGGTTCTAAATTGACAGGTATATTTTATTATTTCAAAAGTAAATGATTAATTAACTAATTAATCTCTATGAATAGATAGTGGATGAAATCGACATCTTAATATAATTAAATAATAAAAGTGGGATTAAGCCTGATTAATTGCTTATAATCAGCCTTAATTTTTATGATCTCCACATGCTAAAATAGAAATATTAACTAATCTCGGGCTATAAAGCATTATCAATTTAGTTAAATTATATAATAATAATAATAATAATAATAATGCTGGATAATCACCAACTTTTTATATGGTTCCTTTAACATATCAAACATTATATGCTTCCATGATTTCATTAGGGTTGATTAATATACTTAATTACTTATATAGATATAAATATAAATTTCTTTATAATTATATACATTAAGCTAATTCAATGATTCTTAAATGGTCGATTTATGTTGTGTGGGAGATCCTAAACGGATAAATCCCTAGTTGAGATGTAAATATCTCGTGATATAGATCATATAATCAAGGCTAATGATCGTGCGATTTTCCTATTTTATCGAATTCGAGTTTATTCCAACTCAACCTTGTCACGGGTATTATATAAACCTCATGATAATCTGTTTTGGGGGATGACGAGAATAGGTCATAGAGAATTCATTAGAAAACTCTTGTAAAAGCAGATTGCTTACCCCGCATATTCAATAATATAACAGTGAACGTGGGTTTTGCATTATAAGAATCCAAACCATTTTAAAAATTATTTTTTTCTTTAATACTTTATGTTAATTACTGTACATTTACCATCGCATTATTTTATTGCTGATCAATCAAGATTACGTACATATCCTACTTGGTTATAACATTGTTAACCACGTACTTGTGATTGGTATAAACCCATGCATCAACAATTTATATATTTATATAATGAAAATTCTCTTTGGTGAATGTCGTTTAAAAAAATGCAAATACTAAATTTCATAAATTACGTGGAGATATAATTTGGAAAATTGAAAAATTAAAGGTTGAAACGAGATTAACAAAATAAATAAAATTAAAATTACAAGTTCAAAATTAAGTTATTATTGATTTGCATGTGAGAATTGAACATTTCAATATATCAGTTAAATTAAATACATTAACTTAAATTTGCATGTCACGACCGAAATTAAATTCACATATTCAAACCGGAAAAGGTAAAAGCAATAGTCAATTTAAAATTTTAATAATACAGTATGAACTAATCAAACATTAATTATATATGAACAAATCAAACTATAACTACTAACTAACCATTACTTTGAGCTAGTTAATTAGTGAAACCAATTCAAAGTAAACGGGGGAATGGGCTTTGAGCAAATTAAGAATTAATAAATTTAATAATTAAGCTTAATAAATAAATAAAAGGCTAAACTTAGGTTAAAAAATTAATTGACTATTCAAATCAGTGAATTAATTTAAAAAGTAATTAAATTATATATATACAGTATTTGATTAATTTAAACAAGTTGATTCCATCTCTGAATTTGGACAAGTAACGGAAACAAACATGAAGTTGCGTACATTAAGTAATTAAGGAATTTAAATTAAACCTATTTATTGTTATTATATTAGTTAATATGATGACTTGGTAAGTAACATTTCACTCTAGATAAGAATTATGAGAAACAATAATATTATTTTATTTAAGAAAACAATATATTTTCTCCTAATATAAAAATAATTAAATTGATTATTTAAGGTATTTTTATTGATTTTTCCATAGATTTTATGTGTGTTCAGATAAATTATGGTTTGATCTCTGTGCAAATAAGTATAAATTACTTTTGAAATCTTAGAAAATGTCTACCTAAAATATTTATCAAATCTCTGGAAAAAAGAATTAATGAATTTACCTTTAATATAAAATCAAACATCATGAATTAATCGAAGACAGAGACAATGGAGTTTTATTAAAGAGCAAAATTATTCACATACCCTAGATAGGACGTAGCCCAGATTTTTAGCTGGTGACGTCAAAAAGAGAAATCTATTATTCAGTGTTACAGTTCCAAACCATTTATCCAATTCAACCAAAATTCACAGCTCACGTTCTCTCATCAATTTAAAAAATAAAAGAATTTTTTTTAAAAGCAAAACAACAAAAAACTAAGCATCTTATCTTGTAACCTCCAAATGAATATTATTTCTTGATTAATCAAACCATAGGATTGGCTTATTTTCAGTTTTCAAAAGCATACTCTCTCTCTCTCTCTCTCTCTCTCTCTCTCTCTCTCTCTCTCTCTCTCTCTCTCTCTCTCTCTCTATATATATATATATATAAACTCTCTCTTGATTATAATTTAGCTCTTTATACACGATTTGATTGTAACCACCTATTATTACAATCACAGTGGACGTGGATTCGCTTTTGAGCATCCAAACCACTTTAAAAACCGCTTGTTATTTATTATCTCATTACATATTTTCATATCACGTACAATTTCTAAGTCTGCTTAGCATTTTGCACGTGTGAGTCGTTGGTGTCAAAATTAAGCATCAACAAAAGAATAATGCTATGTGCACTAACCAAAATCATACTAACCCAAGTACTAGCGGGCGTGATAGACCTTTCTTTTTACCACGTCAGTTCCCCCTAAAAACTAAAAAAAAAATTTCAAAATTTCAATTGTTAGTACTTGGATTAGTATAATTTGGTTAATGGACAAAACATTACTCTCAACAAAATGGGTACACATTTTTCTTCTAAAAAAACTTTATATAGTATATAGCTTCTTCATTTATTCTATTTTCAATATGTTTGAATTCTCAAATAATCATAAATGTTACTGTAAAAATGAATAAGCTATAGCTCGGGGCAATCGGTGAAGTAACCGTTTGGAGCGAGATGTTGCATTGTTATCTTCTGAATTATGGATAAGTATTATCTCTTAAAATCAAGAAGAAGATCATGGGAATACTCTCTAAAATTTAGATCACATAATAATGTCATGAATAATGAGATTAACTCTCGAAAATCATGTCATTATCCCTAAAATTTCTCTTGTAACAGTTGCAATTTCATAATATAAAAACCCCTAAAAAAATATTTATTTAATTATCCTCCGACCATTTGTTTTAATCATAATTGTCAAATCATGTATCGTATCCTGTATCGAAAACCTGATTTTTTGAATCGTGTATCGTATCGTAGGATACGCTTTTTTCAAAAAAAATTAAAAAAATAATAAAAAATTTCTAAAACTTAATATCATCCCAAAAATTAATTAACGGATTTTGTGATATTATTAATTTTATATTATAGTATTACATAATCAAAATTAATTAAAAATTAGGAATTTATATTATTTCCTCTCAACCATTCATATCATTGCTAAGATCAATGTGAGTCTTTATATCTTCACGTGTATTATTTTTATCATGCAAAATGGATAACACATATTCCTCTTCACTTTCTCCATGCAAAATGGATAAATTTGGGCGGGTTTTAGTGAACCAAGTTGGGTGACCTGGATCCAACCTAATCTATTTCAGCTCAACCCAAATTTTGTTTAGGCCTTCAGCCCAAATTGATAAAGTCATATCAATATTTCTAAGGATACAGACCGATATGTATCATATCGTAGAATACATATCAATACAGTAAAACCTCTCTATAGTGATACTATATATAAAAATAAACTCTACATAGTCATAACAAATTCTAGTCCTAATTCGAGATAGTTATAAATAAGAATAAACTCTACATTTTAATAAGTTATAATTTTTCTAATTCTCGTTTTAAGGAAAGTTCCCTCCACATAGTAATAATTATCTGTATATTACCAAAAAAATATATGTTATGTTACATTAAAGATTTAAGATGAAATAAAATATTTGTCTAAAGTTATTTGAGACAATGATTTATATTTTAGAGTTGTTACCACATCTTTTACCTTGCTAATATGTAATAACTTGCTAGCATAGACACCTTCTTGTTGAAGCCAAAATATTTTTAGCTTCTTAAGCATGTTTAGAGCTTCATGGCATGAAACTTTTTGTATTTCTGTACTATCATCCTTATGATTATTTCCTTTATCTTCTTGTCTAATTGTAAAAATGATTTCTTATTTGGTTAAAGCATACATGATTTGTTACTCATTTGGATGATCGAGGAACATATTAATATCTAGGGGCGGATCTAGCCTCTTTTTGGGTGGGCCATGGCTGACCCTCAAATTTTTTTTTTTTTAAATACTAATATGTATAATTTATAGATTTTGGCCCACCCTAATAAAAATATTAATGGACAAAAATATTAATGTATAATTAATTTTTATTTTGGCCCACCTTAACAGAAATTTCTGGATCCGCTACTATTAATATCCATTCGATTAGTTTAGTGAAATTGTCGAATCTGATCACTCAATTTTGCAATGACTCTTTTATTTTCCTCGTCCACTTGTTGTAACTTGCAATTCATTGAAATCGGGGGTCCTAATTTTGCAATGCTTAAAACCATTGGCAATTGTCTATGGCTTCACATCAATTGACCATGTATCAACTGCATATATAGTTCCATTAATGACACTTATCTTTGCTGGTTCCAAGACACGGTCTTCTATCCATTTCAAAAGTAAGCAATTGAAGCGCTAAATTGAAATTATAATACTACTAAAATATGAATTGAAATCCTAATACTGTACTACTAAAACATGAATTAAAGAATAAAAAATCAAAACTCTAATTTTTGTAACTACACCTCCATTAAGTTATAACCTCCTTATAGTAATAAAATTAGTTCGTCCCACTATTATGACTATAGAGAGGTTTTACTGTATATCGAAAGGTTTAGGATACACTCTCTGACCCGTATCGTTGGTGACCCGTATCGAATCGTATCGTAAGATATATATCGCGTATCGTAAGATACTAATAATCATGATTTTAATACCTAAAACTTAACAATTGAGATATTTTTGTTATTTTAAAAACCCTACTTTTTTTTTTTAATTTAATCAAGTTTCAAGGCGATTATTTCATTAACTCTTAAAAAATGTGAAAACAAAAAACTGTTTGGGTTACTGTGAGTGGTAACATAGCAGAACCCATGCAGGGAGGGCCCTTGTTTTTGAGGTGAGGTTCCAGGAAGATTCATGGGCCTTAATTAAATGTTGTGGGCTTGAGAGTGGTTCATAACTGGGTATAGCGGTTCAATTTCATAGAACCAGTAAATATGATCTTTTACTTTAAATAATTACAAATAGAACCAGTAAATATGAACGAGATTTTTTTATTTATTGAGTTGGTATGCTGACCAAAGAATAAAACTTAGTTGAAAAGTTCACACTTTCGTTCACTCTTTTGGGTCATCTTGTTTGACTACATGATGGAATCTCTCTCTCTCTCTCACTCCTTTTTTTTTTTTTAATTTATTTTATTATTCTCATACAATCTAGCAATTTTCGGAAACTATTAAAGAAAACTTACAATAAATATATAAAACAAAGGTGAAGTTATGGATCCTTTTGTTGTCAAATTAATTAAAAAAAAAAAACTGTTTTTAATTATTCTTTTGGGTAACAAGGTAATAATATAAAGAATAAAAGAAATCCCTACAAAGTCAAGTTCCTTGGACAAGCCCAAGCAACCAAGCAAAAGAAAAGCAACAGGAGAGTCACGGATTTACAATCCTTATGTAGCACCTAACTAGCCTCAAAGAGGTCTATACCAGCAACACAAAAACAATGCAGGTCTTTTGATAAACAAAAGCCAACCGCACATGTTGTACACATATACCAGCCACCAAAAAACCCAAAATCTCTCAGCACTACAACTGCAGAGTTCCTGCAAAGGAATGCAACCAGAAGCAAATGAACAACAGCAGTAGCACTGCAAATATCTCCCTAGTGCAAACAGCTCCAGGAGAGCAACTCGGCAGTAGTGCAAACAGCTCTTGTCATTGCGGTTAACCGGGATTGGCCGCTTATTTAATTTGATGTAAAAAATACTTTCTTGCATGGAGATCTTACAGAATAAGTGTATATGGATTTTCCTTCGGTTATAGAAGAGTACTCAAATGTAACAAAGGTATGCAAACTCAAGAAGGCATTGTATGGTTTAAAACAATCTCCAAGAGATTGGTTCGGCAGATTCACCAAGTCTATGAAGAACTTCGGCTATAAACAAAACAACTCATATCACACTTTGTTCTTAAAGCACCGAAAGGGTAGAATTATTGCTTTAATTATGTATGTTGATGATATGGTTGTGACAAGTGATGATCAAGATGAAATTAAGAACTTATAATGACACTTGTCCTCGGAGTTTGAAATGAAACAGCTTGGTGACTTGAAGTGCTTTCTTGGGATTGAGGTAGTCATATCAAAAAATGATATTTTCTTATCTTACGGGAAATACATTCTTGATATGTTAACTGAAATAGGTATGCTTGGATGTAAGCCTGTGAATACTCCTATTGAACAAAATCATAAATTGTTTCATTATTTGGATATAACTTTTATTGAGAAGGCAAGGTACCAAAGACTTGTAGGAAAACTGATTTACTTGTCTTACACTAGGCTAGATATTACTTATTCAGTATGTATTGTGAGCAAATTTATGCATGATCCTCATAAACCTCACATGGATGTCGTGGAACATATATTAGGATATTTGAAGTCTGCTCCAGGTAAAGAGTTACTTTTCACTAAGCATAATCATCTGAAGGTAGAAGGTTACACTAATGCAGATTGGGCTGGTTCAGCTGATAACACAAGATCTACTTTAGGATACTTTACTTTTGTTGGGGGAAACCTTATGACTTAGAGGAGTAAAAAGCAACTGGTAGTAGCAAGGTCAAACGCAGAAGCTGAGTATAGAGGCATGGCTTTTGAAGTGTGTGAGCTACTATGGTTGAGGAACTTGCTAAGAGATTTGGGGGTTGAACTCTGAAGATGCAATGAAGTTGTATTGTGATAACACTTTAGCTATAGAGATTGCCCACAATCCAGTTCAACACGATCGGACGAAGCATATAGAAATTGATAGACATTTCATTAAGGAAAAACTAGAAGCTGAGATCATTATATTTCCTTTTGTGAAATCTAAAGATCAACTAGCTGGCATTCTTATCAAAGTCGTAGCCAACAATGAGTTTGATTACGCTTTAGACAAGTTAGGCATGCTTGATATATATCCCTGCTCCAACTTGAAGGAGAACGCTAGAATTAATATCCTATAATTAAGAGATAAATATGGTCTTAATTATATGATATTATTTCTTTCATAATTATAGGATATTTTTTGTAATATTATGTAATTAATTCTTTTATTCTTTCTTTGTAAATGTTCTTGTATCTAGCCTATCTATTTTAGAATTACAATGAATGAAAAACATTATAAAATTATTCATCAATTGTGTTTCTTGACAGAACTTGTTATGCTCAGTATTATCTTTCAGCTCTCTAATAATCTCTTTGGTCTTGTCTCTTACTACAACAGACTTATGTTTTGTGAGGTCGCGTATAGTTACTATAGTATCACCTAACTGCAAAATTAAAACACAAAACATAAATAAAGTAATAGACTGGCAGTAAAACAGAAAAATGCAAATCACTACCTCAAAAACTTCAAATGTTTGAATAGAGTTAAATGTCTTGCCATCCAGGCATTTAGAGTAGTGATTAATGCTGTTTCACTTTGAACAATGCCTACCTCATGTAATTTTTTTTTTTTTTTTTTTTGTAATATTACTTTTTTCATAGGCAATTGTCCGTATGCTGCTAATCTTGCAAAGAAGTTATTTATTTCTTTAGTAGTTTCTTATGTTAATTTTCTTCATTAAAACTGGCTACATCTGGGCATTTTTATTGACAGGTTGCCAAGATTATAGTAAAAGATTGCATAAACTTAAATTTTCCATGATAGCAAAAGAATGCATATATATATATATATATATATATATCATATTTACAATTCATGCATTGCTACATGTATAATGTGTTTCCTTTCCTTTCATGCTTGCGCTGAGTGAGTTTTATATTTGATTGAATGGAAAAACACTATGAAAAGAAAAAAAGAAATGTTCATAAAAAAATTATGACTAACTATACTGATAGACATGATTTTTAGATCAAACCATTTTCCTCATCAATTTTCAAGAAAAAAAAACTATTATTTTAATTATAGTTTTCATGTTATTAACAATAGTGATCACATAATATAAATCGATACACAATTAATCAAGATCTTAAAAGTAAATTAAACAAAAAATTAAATACATAATATAATAAAAACAAGTGTAAAATGTAGATTTAAAATCTTTAATATTTCATATTATAGAAACCCACCAGGCATTTTCTAAGGTCGATTCTCAATTCTTAAATATTATCTATTTCACAAAACAAACAAAAAATTATCCAAAGCTTCGTTTGAAACAGAAAAAATCAATTAATTCAAGCCCTATCAGATATTGTCACACTTCAAAATTATATAAATTTAAAACCGATTTCTTAGGTTCACAATCATATAATATCGATATACAATTAATCAAGATCTTAAACTAAATTTAACACAAAAATTAAACATATAATATAAACAAGTGTAATATTTAGTTAGATTTCACCTTAATTTTCTATTTTGAACTCTGTTATAAGAGAGCCATTGATACAAGGAGAATCCTTCCATTCTTCATAATGTGATCTCAAAATTCCTCTCGCTTTATCTTTCAAATAAGCCGCGGAATCAGCCTGAAGAACTTTACAAAGCTTCATCACAGTTCCAACTTTGACCATTTCTTGGAAAACCGAATTATTCCCAGTTGAGAATTTGCTTATCAATGACAAAATCAAAATAGCTCGATCGTCGCTCGCCGGAGAAACCCTCAAGATCCTCTTCGTCACCACCGCGACGCCGCCTTTGTGGCTCAGAAACTGCGCTCGTCCATCTGCACAGCAACATAAATGAAACAATATGCCTAAAACAAGCTCGGTGGTTCTCCTTTCGGGCGCCGATAATTCAAGCTCAATGAGCTCAAACACGGCGCCGGATTGCACCATCAAAACCTTATTTCTTCCCGACGGACAGGCGTCTAATAACACACGTAAAGCTGCATTGATTCCTTGTTGATTTATCCCTTTTCGAAGAACTGAAATAATCTTCTGTAACAACTCCGGTTTAAGCCTCTCTAAAACGCCGGGACTCGCCGTTGAAACGATGCTTTTCAAGACTATCAATGCATGAGATTTGATTACAAAATCATTTTCCATCTCGTGCCCTAGAATCCACGTTAGAGCTTCAATGATTCTATCGATTTCAATAAGGAGAAGTTTCGTTTCGCCTGAAGGAACCCGGAAAAAATTAAGAATGCTTAAAGCTTCTTCTAAACCAACCACTGATTTTCTTTCGAAACATGTTACTAAAAACGTTAAAATGGCTTTCGGTAGTCCAACCTCAGTCATGTACTTTCTGTTTCTTTCGTTCTCCCCCGCCAGAATTTCCAGTTTCCTTAACGTTTGAATTTGATCGACCTGCGGACGCCAGAGATCTTTGATGAGTTTGATGACGTGGAACTTGCTGATAGGAGTCTTCGGCGTGGGGATTCGGTCAACGCCGAGGGCGGCATTTTCAGTGCACCAAGCTTGAATCAATCGGCGGAGAGTGTGATTCGGCGTCAAATCGGAGTCTCGTGGTAGGGGCTGTTTGGTGACTGGACAGGTGGTGTTTTTGCCTTTGAAAAGCCAATGTTCGATGTTTTCACGGTCGTAGGTGATGCCGGTAATGGAGGTGACGGGATCCTTCATGAGCTGGAGAGAAATAGGGCAAGTGAAATACTCAGGAACCTCGATATCTTCCATTGAAACACAGTGAAGATGAAATCACGAAGAGGGTTGAATAAAAATGCAATAAATTATTAAGAATTTGTTTGATTGATGATGGTAATGATGAATTTGAGTGTGGAAATGGGGAGGATTTAAAAGAGTGAGAATGGTAAGAGAAAGCGGCTAATTTATTGACAAAATTGAGGGAGAAAAAGAGTGGTGGACTCAAAATTGGTCAGAAATTCTCTTGAGTGGTAAAAATTTTAATTTTTTAATGCATTAAATTCATTCCAATGGAGGCTTCGGTGGTCAAAGAACTAGAAAAGCTACGTGGATTTGGTTTGGCCATATCCAAATCCAAGTGGCACGTAACCGCCGTATTTTTTAATCTCTTTTATTTTTAATTGAAAAATATGGGTATGATGACCCCACAGCCATTAGAGATTAGAGAACAGTAGGTCCGTTTTCTTTACACACATATCTGCAGCTACTTCTAAGGCACCTATGTTCAGAACCAAGCTAAGGGTATGTTAATGCCACTGGGTGGTCAAGTACCAAAAGAGCAAAGGTTTTACCAAAGAGTAATGTTACAGTTATCGACGGGTGTGCACTGAATTTATGCATCAAATAACATGACAAAATCCTGACCGTTGATTTATTATCAGTTAATATTAATCAACGGTCAGGATTTTGTCACGTCATTCGATGCACAAATTTGGTGTAAACTTTTTAGTAACTCTATCATTTTCTTTTACCAAAACAGTCTTCATGAGTTTGAATCATTCGGTCATTCCCGACACTAATAGGGATGGTCATTGAAGAGATTTATCCGACCATTCACTTTAAGGTCCCAAAAAATTAATTGAAGTACGCACAAACTGATCCGAATACTTCTGGTCACAAAAAAAAACAAAATAAATAAAAAAAAAAGCTAAAGATATCTTTGTAGGTGAGTGGACAGTGACGAAGATTCATACCGAGACTAAATAAACTCCTTTCTACCTGAACCCACCTTACTAGAGGTATTTTTTATTCTCTCAAATTCAATAAATTAAATAATATTTACAAGATCTCTTTCTATATTTTAATTACCATATTATAAAAGTAAGGAAGTGGGAGATGGGGAGATCTATATCGAGTTATATATATGAATAAACTCACACGAGGTTTTTTTTTTTTTTAAAGAATATCAATTAAAATGTTTAAGATTTTTTATTAATATTAATGGTATCTTCTATTTTTTATCAAGTATATCCTTCTTATCTTTATTGTTAAGATATTTGATAATTTTAATTTGTAGAATATTATAATATTTTGTAATTTAATTTTTACAATTTTATTCAGGTCAATTGTAGGGATATTTCATGTTTTATACACTTAATTTTAACTGCTCAGAAAGCACGAGGGATACTGACTAAAAATCACAGGATTTATGTGAAATATTTACCTTTAACCTAGTGGAGTTCTATCTTCAACACTCATCACAGATTTAATGATCTGATTCACCAATAACTTGCACTTCAGAAATATAATCTGCCATAGCATTTCTTGTTATTCCTTGGATGAATAATATCTATTTTGAATAGTGATTACTATAAATATAATATTGATTAATATTCAACTAAATAGTTTATATATTTAAACTTTTATACTTAAACACAAGTCGTCTAAAACATTAAAGCTACTTTAATCATACTCTCCTTGGCAAATGATATGAAATTTTGAATTTTAAGATCTACCCTTATATTTTCACAGTAATTTTCAAGTTCAATAATGTAGAAATTAATAAATATTATTATTATTATTATTATTTGGTAAGTAAGTATGTATAGATAGAAATAGAATGTACAAGGAGGCCAGAACAAAAACACCGCCCTACCTCAAGACAAACCCTAAGTTAGAATCAATTAGCCTATACAAGACTAAAGGAGGCAACAAACAAGAGAAGGCAAAACGCTCTCCTCTTCCTACCTTAGGACACCCCCTGAATAAATATTGTCTGATGACGTTGTTGATTTTCTAATATTTGACCAAATCAAGTTCTTGGGATTAAGTTCAGCTTGCCCATTAATTATAATAAGAGTATAAGAGTTTAATATACACCTTTTGAACTGGTTGCATTATATGAATTCTGACATATCTAACAACTACAGTGATAAATATCATCATTTATACATCTAAAAACTTCTATTTTTTAAATTAATTTTATGTCAAGGGATTATTGGTGTTTAATTAACAAAGTTCACATTTAAACAGATCTTTCTCATTTTTTTTTTTAAATTCCAAACCCGTATCAAATAGACACGGATATCGAGTGTCTAGGTCTATGCGTTTAATATGCTATATAAAAATTTATTTGATCCAGGCATAGAATATATTTAACACTAAATACCTGGAGGTGTTTTTTTTTTTGTAATCGGGGTGTCGAGTCAGGTTATACACACCTCAACTAATCTCTAAGGTCTATTAAACATCCTACAAACTTAAAGAACTAGGTAAATCACAATATTATTGTGATAGGTTATCCCAAAGTTTGAACCAAATAACTCAAGGAAGAGAGTAAACCTCTTTGATCGTCAAACTAACTCCTTAAGGTTAAATACCTACCAGTGTTGTGTTACGTTAAAAGAGGTGGTTCATTTCAACACCAACTGTTGCATTCGGTCAAATATTTATAGGAAAATCACATTTTTCTTGTAATGTAATGACAACAAAGTTTGTCCCAACTTCAAGTTGGGTCGAAATATTTTTATTTTATTTATTGATGAATTTTATTAAGGTGGAATGGTTTCGGGTCCACAGACGAAAGTAGCAAACCCTAGCTAGTTCTCTTAAGAATAATCTTTTCCAATTAAGTAGAGAGCGTGATGCATGCAGTGCGAAATTGGTCAAAAATTCAAAAGCGACACGCTCGATGCACGTTATGGAGTCAAAAAGGTTGAGTCAACGGTGGGTTCACTCAAGTAAACTCTTATCACTAATATTATTATTGCTTCTCGTTTCTTCTTCATTTAACAACTGGTACCCCATCTTCTTATCTCCACCATTCCCATTTATTCAACTTTCAATCCTACCTAAGGCCTTCCATTCTTAGCCTTTATTCAATTTTCTTCATAAAGCTCAGTTCTTTCGATAAAGTTTTACGTATAACAGACGCATTTGTATTCGTCAAATTACAGCATGCGTACATGTCACGTGTATTATTACAAGAATGACTCTAACGAAGATAACCCATTGAAAAAATTGGTACTTTGATTCATGACAAATTGTCAATATTGAATTTAAAATTATTTAGCAATTGTTTAATTACCAAATTAAGTTATTCATTATTTTTTTTAAAAAAAAGCTTAGTTCTTTCAAGAAAGTTTTACGTATAATAGACATATCTGTGTTTGTCAAATCACGACGTGCGTACCTATCACGTGTATTATTGCAAGAATGACTCTAACAAAGGTAAACCGTTGAAAAAATCAATACTTTGATTCATGAAAAAATTTAAATATATTGATTATAAAATGAGAATCAGTTTAAAATTAATTAGCAATTGTTTAATTACCAAACTAATTATTAATTACTTAATTAATTAGTAATGAGGAATTAGGTAAGCTATTAAATAGCTAGTTTCATTGCATTTGTACAACCAAACCTAAAGTTCTTTGGTTCATAATTCACATTGTTATTATTAATTATTTGGTCGGATTTAGAAGACTTGATTTATTGATTATTGCTTGCATAGTTTAAAAGGATCGTGTTCATATATATATAAAGATCATAATTATGTCAACCAATTATTAATTGTTTAGGTTAGATATTGAAGACTGATTTTAAATAGGGATTGTCTCCTAAAATCATCAATTTAATTACTTTACTAAATAGTTTAATTATATGAACAAGTGTTGGAGAATTAATATGCATACTATGGTAATTAAATAGCTGGCATAAGATTATGCATTATACTATCTTTTATTAGATGATCAAATCAATAAATTTTTAATATGTAACAAATTAAAGTTGATATATATATATATATAGATTGTAAAATGAACATATATTAAAAAAATTCGAATGAAAGTTCCTGAAAAATTAAGAGATCAATTGGGTGGATTCTTAACAAGAGTTCAATTTCTATGGCCAAATATATCGGCTGGTCATACAAACTTTTACTTTGAATCTCAGGTTTTTCAAAGTCAACCAATTTTGTTTGTTTTCGGAACATTAAAGACGACAAATACTGAAAAATAAATTGGCTAATAAAACAAAAAAAAGAAAAAGAAAAAGTCTAAATATCCCTCAAGTTTCCAAAATAAATGAACTAAATATCACTAACTTCAAGGCTCGTAACTATCAGTTGCCAACTAGAAATATAATCCTTCAATAACTGATGCTCTAATTTTCTCCAATGCTATTCAACATCGATCATATTATCTTTAATTAAATATTTACGATTTAGGTTTAGGGTTTAGGTATTCTTGCTATGATACATACATGCGAATCATTTTGATGTTATAATTATTGTCTAAGTTTCTACTTTTTCTTTTTTTTTAATAGAAAATACAACCAAATTAAATAACATCATTTTTTAAAATAAGATTTCTATCTTACTGAATTAATTAAATAAAGACTATACTAATTAATGGAATAAATATAATACTTCCTGCTCCATGCTTTAAAATTAAACGAGTATTTAACAAGCAATTTGTCTAAATAATGAATAATAAGATCTGGTGCAAGACGACTTTGTAAACATGATCTCCAAATTAATTAATTTAATAAACGACCAACCACCATCATTCAGATTGAATCAAATTAAATACATCCGATGATGATCAGCAGCTGATTAATTATTTTAATTAATTTATATATAAATCTGAATCTGATCATTAGTAGGTGATTAAAATTTTCAATTAAATTTAATTAATGATTTGATTCAAGAATTGAATCCAATTTTGGTGGTCAATATAAATAAAATAAACCCTTCAGCTGTCTATCATTGCCCAGCTCCTTAGAAAATTAAACTGTAATTATCACATTATAACCAAAATATAAGTCAAGTTTGAATTCTAGGGTTGAATATGGAAACTATTATTATTGATATTAAAGTATGGTTTTGAAACTGAAACTAAANATTTTCAATTAAATTTAATTAATGATTTGATTCAAGAATTGAATCCAATTTTGGTGGTCAATATAAATAAAATAAACCCATCAGCTGTCTATCATTGCCCAGCTCCTTAGAAAATTAAACTGTAATTATCACATTATAACCAAAATATAAGTCAAGTTTGAATTCTAGGGTTGAATATGGAAACTATTATTATTGATATTAAAGTATGGTTTTGAAACTGAAACTAAATTTTTTGTTATATCTCTAACGTGAGAAGTGTAATGTTATTAAAATATTGTTATGAGAATTCAAAATATGGTCACTTAAAACTAAATTATTGATTTGATAATATTACCGAACTCGATAGTATAATATGATTTTGTAAAGTCTGTAAATCTTCATTTTGTATGTAATGTTCTCTCTATCTCATACGTTCTCTTGCCTAGTTAGTAAATTCGCATATTATTCGCAAACTATTGTATTTTATTAGCCTAGTCGTATTATTTGGGAATTATTCCCGTATTTGAATTTTTGCTAAATTTTTACAAACGTATTTTTTACCGTTTGTCGTATCATACCCGTAAAATTCCTGTACCATTTTTTTGCCGTACCCGTATAGTTGAAATGCTATATGGATTTTAATCAAATGACCTATAAAAAGTGCTAAAACTAGGATTGATATTGCCATGTTTTTCAAAATGTATTATTGATAATGTGTCGTATTAAACCCGTACCGTATTTTTTTCCGTATCTGAATTTTATGACCGAATTTTTACAAAAGTATTTTTCACCATTTACCATATCATACCTGTAAAATTCTCGTACCTTTTTTTCCGTACCCGTATTTACCAACTAGGGTCTCTTGTTGAGCAGAAGCAATTTCCAAAATTTAAGTGAAATCAGCAAGGGACTCTCGTTCTTGAAAGAAGGAAGCCCGTCCCCAACTTTAGAGCAAGCCATCCTCATGCAGGATGAGCCCATTCTCATGACCGTCCCTTGTATTGTCCAATTTTGGAGCATAGTGAAGAACTAAGACAACGACACCCATCCCTATATTCTCAAGCCATCCCCAAGGAGGACAACCTCATTCCTGTGCCTATTCCCTACCTTCTGGAAAATCAGTGCAGTATAAGCAATTTCCAAGTTTCAAGGACCAAAGTGTTAAGTTTTAAAAGTTATTTGACTTTATTGTAACTATGTAAAGGACCAACATGTTAAGTTTAAGAAGTTGTTGGACTTTATTGTAATTGTGTTAGAAATGATGTGTTTTACAAAACAGCTTATTTGTAATCCCACTTAGACTTGTATTAAATAGTTAGCAAACAAGGTTCTTGATCCTTCTAAAATATTCTTGTATTTTTTCTCGATCTTTGAAATTATTCATCTCTCAATTCAATAGATTTTAAATTCTATATCTTTTTAAAATTTGTTGTATTCTTTCTCTAGAAAGATTCGATAACCCAAAATTTGACTTGAATGTTGAAGAATTGCACTGGAGAGTTCTCCCAGATATCTCAAATGTATAGATTTAGAATTAGAATACAATTTAGGCTATATCAATTTACTTTTTGAGTTAAAACTATGACATTAATTTACAGCAATCCATTATCCATTTTTAATTTTTTGTAAAAAAATTAATTGATATAGTCTTACTATTAAATTCATTACGATTACCACAATTCCAAAAGGAGAATCTTCAATACTAAAGTTACAAATTTTACTCATCTGCCACAAACAGTGACATAATGGAGTTAGGGCAAAGGGGTATCCATGATACAATTTCAAACTTTGAGGGTAGTTTAAAGAAAAGTGGGAAATTTTTCATCCAAACGAAAAACTTGAAGACTTAAAAGGTTAGTTTATGATAATCTCCCATGGATTTTCGTTTAAAAATATAGGTAAACACTTTTGCCCTAAAATCTTGGATTCAATAATCGAACCCAAGGCCCAAATTATTGGGCTTAAAGCCCAGCCCAAACTCTGAGCTCCAAGATCAGCCGAAGAGCCACAAAGAAAGAGAGACAGAGCTACACTCGCTGATGCGAAATCAAAATGAAGTAACTGTTCATTCGACATCAAGATTCGAAAGCGCTAAGGTATTTATTAATTTTTGAGCCATTTTTGTTTTTCACTATTTATATTTTAACAGTAAATTTCTTTACTTCTTTTTAAATCCATAAATAACTGTTTTATGCTTTGTTTTTGTTTCAAGTTCAACACAGTTTTTGCCTCTATTTTAGCTCTCAATTTACTATTATATTAAGAATAGCAAATGGGTTTATCGAATGCACCGATTATATGCTTCAAAATTTTCATTTTGAGCCTTAGTTAGATCAAATATTTGTATATATGATGTGGGTTTTGTCAAATGATATATAAATTTCATTAGTTCAAGCTGTTTAGTAGCTTTATGGAGTCACTGTTTTGGCTAAGTTTTTGTTGTTTTTTATGTTTTAAGTAATACCCATTTTCTAAAATGTGCATTCTTATTTCTGTTTTTGCTTGTTTCACTGATTGATGGATAGTCTTGAAACTTATATTCGCTTCATTGTTTCTTTAGAAAAGCTTGTATTCTCTGTTAAATGACTTTCCAATTTCTGTTTTCTTGCTGTTATTTTGAATTTAAATTGTTATTTAGATTGATTTTATGTAACATCCTACATCGCTAGCAAAAGCTAGCTTGGACTTTGAGTATGATATATGCTTGATTGGACCAGGAGTTGTTCATATTTGGCTTGAGAGAGAGCCTTAATTTGAACTTGGGATTTGAGAGTAAAACAACTGCGGCTGATTCTTATTCACCTATGTTTTAAGTGGATAGATGTTTTGATTTTTCTATTCATTGGTAATTTGAAAGAATGACTGTCTTATGAAACATTGTGGAGCATGCTGAAAATTGTTTATAATGGTTTTGCATTTGTCTGTTTTATAGTCGTGGGTTAGTTTCACTTTAGTCTGTGACTTAATTTGAAACATCCAATACGGTGTATCTTTTTACAGCAAGATAAAATTAGTTGTGCTGCTCTTCTTCTAATACTTCCAACAATTATAATTTTGTAATTTTATGTTTATACTTATATGCATTGCCAATTATTGTTTATTTATAGGTGGTAAAATGCGTAGAAGATATACTTACTAATGCTCCTTGCTTGAATGGAGTCTGCTGTAAGTTTTCCGACTCGTGCTTATAATCATGTTTACTGTTGCTTACACTGATTGAACATAGGACTACTGAATTAATTTTTTCTTCAGTTATAGTTTGCATAATGTGTATTTTGGCACTTTTACAAACACACCAATGTCATTCATGTTGTTAACTGGTTTGGCACACAAATAGTTATACTGCCAGAGATAACTTTCAAGAGAGGATTAGTTAGTTCATCTATTATGCAAATTCTTAAATCAAATTTCATTAGTTAATGCCGTGCTATATATTATGTTTCTTTTATTTTTCCTCTCTTGGCTTGCAAATCACATTGGGTTTTGTCTTTTCTTTTTGTCCTTAACTTTCCTTATATATATCGCGCTTTTAGGATACTGAATTTAAGGCTCCAAGTCAGATCGGTGACCGATCAACCAGTGATGTTGTTGTAAGGCTACGAACACAGGAAGGCCGAGATGAATGGTTATATTGTCACTCTCACATCCTTGTGGATAAATGCAAGTATTTTGCTGACCGCCTCTCTGAGAATTGGCCCACATGCCAGATCCTTGATTCACGCAACTGTGTTGAAGTTTACTGCCAAGAGTCAGACTTTGATTACCATGTCAAGGTTCTTCGTCTTCTCTATGTTGTTACTGATGGCTCAGTGGATGATATGTGGTGTGGTGTGAGGAATGCTGTTGGCATACTCCGGGTGGCTGCTGTGCTTGATTGCCCACAAATTGTTGCTGCTTGTTTTAACTACCTGGAAGCAGTTCCTTGGGAAGAGGGTGAGGAGGAGGAAATTCTAAGAATCATACCAAGCATGGGAGCACAAGCCGAGCCTGTTCTTGCCCGTCTGCAGCCGGTCAATCCATCTGCTATTAGGGGGCTATTTTTGTCAGCCATTCGGTTAGCCACATCATCACCTCTTTCACACTTGAAAGACCTAAAATCAACTGCCCAAGAGCAGCTTGAATACATGATCACTGAAGATGATGATGGCCCTATATTAACAACTGATGACGAGATAAAATCTGAGGTAAAAGAATGCGTAAAAATTCTGTTTACGGGGTTTAGCAACCTATTAGAAGCTATGTTATGTGATCACATACATTCTAATTCTGAAGAAGAGAAACTGCAATTGTTTAAATCCCATCTATCAGATTTGTTGTGGGCTTGTCAGATATTAACTAAGATGGAAATTATGAGGGAATTCGTTGGCAGTTGGGTGGATGCATCAGATAAGATAGTTAAGGTCGTTCAGCAAGAACGATCAACAGCTGAAATGGTTGAGACAAAATATAAAGTGATTGAGGTGGCATCCAAAGTCCTTGAAACCATAGGATATGGCACTGTCATTCTGCCAACTACTAAAAGGCTTCACATGTTGAAGGTGTGGCTTCCATTTGTGAGGGTTACAAAACCTCTGGTTGATTCTTTAACTGCCAATGATGAGGATACAGTTGAATTTAAAATCGATGGTGAACTTTGGCAGTCCTTGGAATCCACATTTGTCTCAATAGTTCTTGCATTACCTTCCATGGATCAGGCTGAGATTTTGTCAGAATGGCTGGAAAATGAGCACATAAAGTATCCAGACTTGACCGAGGCATTTGAGGTCTGGTGTTATCGGTCCAAAGTTGCCAAGAGAAGACTAACGTTATACGGAGGAAGCCTGGTATGACCAACAACACTGTTGACTTTTTTGCAGCATTTTATTAGGCAATGATTCAGGCACCTCTTGCTAAAACGAAGCTTTGAGAACTCCACTTTTTTTTTTTCGTTCTTATTGCATATAGTATAGGGCATTTCCTAGTAGGTCATTTCCTAGAAGGGAAAAGTGTCCAAAATGAGATTTGTAGAATTTGATGGTCCTTTGAACTCTTTTCCAATACGTAACTGAAATAACATATCTTCAACCTTCAGCCTATAGGTCTGTACATCATGTGATGATAGCTCTCGCTTAATTGTATAAGTTGTAATTTTCAAGGTGATTAATTTCAGAGAAGCTGTATAATTTCCTATGGTTCATGCTGTTCTTTTGGTACAATTCATCTTCAAATTGTCATCTGCTGAATGGTGAAGTTTTAGATTTTGTTCCCTTTCGTGGTGACCAAGATTTTAAAAAAAGGGTCTTGTTTTATACGCAAGAAATTATATGATTATCTCCAATATTATTATAATAATTATAAATTTTACCACAAATGAATATATATATAAAAAATGGAGAAGATACTGTTATTGCTGGAGAAGAAATCTACAAAACTAAATGATAAATAAACAATTACTTATTTAATTATTAATTTATAGTATATGATAGTGTCTTTCAACAGCTATATCAATTTATTTATGGATTCTTCTCCTGTTTTTGCTGACTTTTAATCTCTACTTTTAATCTACTGAGTGGGGTCCTATCTCAACAAACTTAGATAAATGCATTAGAAAATTGAACATATTCTATTTCTGAAATAGTGAGAGTATAGAATATTATGATCAATAATAGACTAATAAGATCAATACATCTCAAAGAAGAGAAACTCAAATGTGTTTTTGATGAAATCTACTCTTATAACCAAAGCGGGATGAATCTGAAAAAGCACGACGCTAAACAGACAATAGACAACAAAAACAGCAGAGGAGCCAAAATGTACACCCTTTACACACCCATCAACACTCCTTAAACGGTCAAAAAAACCGGCCAGGGATGGCTAAATCACTTTCATACATGGAAGGGAATTTATTAGTAGAGAAAATCATGTAAATATAAAGTATAGAATATTGTAGTTTAATACTTGTTTTCGGTCTAAATACCAACCAAAACTGGTATCGACAGAGAATATGAATCTGAATTAGCATAAATGAAATGTAATACTTGAAATCTTAAGCAGAAAATGAAGCTTTATCATGGGTTGTTCCTGGATTTGGATCGTTTATTGAAAGAAATACAATAATTAACACCATAAATAATCACAATAAATATATATATTGGTATACCCAAATAACTATTTCTTATGATCATATCAATCCCATCTATCCATCTTCAAAACTTACAAAATTAATATACAATCCTCAACCCAGATGCTCAAATCCTAAAGCTATCTACGAACTCAAATGGTTCTATGCAAAGTATAAACCTATACTAAGTAATTTTTAATCTTCTTCTTCTTCTTCTTCTTCTTCTTAATTTCCTTACACTACCATTGCATTTTCTTGTTCCCAAAATGCTATAGGAAACAGCAAGATTATAGTGAAAAGATACCACCCCCTTCTGAAAGCTATAGCTCTTTTTCAAGCCACAAAGTCAGGCAAAAATTGTGCTGCAAACCTCTTTCTGTTCTGATGAATATTTATGCTCTCATATGCAGCTGACGAGTGAGGTGTTGGAGTGTTTATGGGGCCAAACTCGCTCCCCTCGCCGCCTATTTCTACTCTTCTCCCCAGTTGAATGTTTTGATTGGGGAGAAAAGTTTGATGTGTTCCTGATAATGAAAGATTTTCACAATGCGGGAGGCCAAGAGTGAGCGAAACTCCATTTCCTGAAAACCTCGGTGCGAATTGTTCTGTATCGAACCTTCCAATTTCTCCGATTGGGTACTGTCCGAATCCTTGGATGAAGTTCATCTGGTTCCCCATGAATGAGTACCCATCTCTGCTCTGTCTCTCACTCTCGAATTTCAAAGAAATTTGCTCATTGTTTGTGTGATCACCAGGCTTTATATCCATGTTTATAGATGGAACACTGCTCGGAGACTGCATCATTTCGTGGCTTCGCGGTTTCTTTGGACTTCCTTGCCCGAAACCTTCGAGTTCTGGTGAACCAATGAGGGAAAATCCTGATTGGTTTCTCGCAGTTGCGCCCATTGGAGAGGTTGAAACTGTGGACATTGAAATGACAGAATGAGAATTCTGGTTTGAGGAGATCTCTTTGTTGGATTTGAAGCCTTTTCTCTGGCGTTCAGCCACAGGACTTTTGTCTTGTGGAGCAGTGGACTTTGATGTTGAATCCTCATTGTGATCACTCTTGCTTGTTTTCTCCTCTGATCCATTCTGTTCATGCTCTTTGATTTCCTCCAAATACATCTCCTCAACCATCGGTTTCCAGAGCCGAACTCGAGCGTTGATGAACCAATTCGAAACCTGCATTCTCACAAAACATGAACTCAATTTCCAGAAACAACTCAATAATATTCTACTCAGATACTCCAAAATTTTGAAACTGAAAGATTTACCTGGCTCCTGGTGAGCCCTGTTTGCTTCGCGAGCATCTGCTTGTCCGAATCTTTCGGATAACTGAATAAACACAAACAAATGTCCAATTAGATCAAATTCTTTGAAGCGGGAATGAAAGAAGATAACTTGTGTAAACACTTACGGATGAAGAAAGTGTTCGAATAGCCAAGCGCGAAGAACTGAAACTGATCTTTCGGGAAGGCCTCTCTGGGGTCTCCAAGCATTGTGCTGGATCATTCCCAATTGTTGAAGAGCTCGTTGTTGTCGAAGATGGTGGTCGACGAATTTCAGCCTCGAGCCTTCGAGTTTTCCTCCGAGGCAATCTTCTTCACCCAACATCTTATTTGCAGCTCTAATTTGACCTGTAATTGCATCCTTCAAGCACCTAAACTGCTTGGAAATTGTCTTGAGTGCAAGGCTTGTGTATGTTGTTGCTGACCCATTTCCTGCTGCTTGTTCAAATGAAGATATTACAAGCTGCATCTGCTGATGGTACTGCCTGTACCTCTGCTCCACCTTCAGCCCAAAAATCAAAACCCAAATTACTTCAAATTTCATTACGAAAAAATCAAATAAAATTTAAAAGATAAGACTTCAAATTTCAAATAAAAATATATACATATGAGCATACCTCATCAAGCATATTAATAAGTTTTGCTTTCTTCATCTGAATTTCTTGCCTCTCCGCTGTGGTTATCTCGGAGGACCTCTTCCCGGCGGCGTCTCCACCGTCTCCCGACGCGGCGGCCGATGGTTCTCCCATCACTTTATTAGTATTTCCACTACTATTTCCATTTCCCTTCTTTGAGAAGTCGTTTTTACTGTTAATCCCACTATTATTCACATTAACAACTTCATCAAGAAGCTCTTGAGCGGCCTTCAAGTACTTGGAGCTCAGCAACACACTTTGCATACCCGAAACACTTTGCATACCCGAAACTCCATTGGTGACACCCGAACCAGACGACGCCGACCCACCCGAGACCCTCACATCTTCACCTGAAACCGCCTGGCCTTGGCCGTAACCCACCTGCTGCTGCGGGGAGAGGCTCAGCGAGAGTCCCTGCTTGGCGCGTGGGGTGTCACGCGCTGGCGGGGTGGGGTAATTGGCGTTGTAGAGGTTGTAATGAAGGCGGGGGAGAAGGCCATGCAGAGGGGAGATGTTGTCGTCAGGAGAGGTGGTGGGGATGCCAACGAAGTGGGGAGCGTTGTTAGGAGGTGGCGCCGCCGGCGCGTGGGGGGAATTGAGAAAAATGAGATTGTTGTGCGGTGGCTGTTGCGGCGGCGGAGGAGTGGTGTCAGAGAATTGATGTTGCTGGTGGTGATGAACATAAGTTGTTGGGTTCATGAGAACGAGAGTTTGAAGACCGTCTGGAGCTTGAAGGTCAGTTGGATTCCCATGAAAGTACGTCGCCATAATTAAATCTTCTTCTTCAAAATATTTTTATTTATTTGTCTTTATAGTTTCTTGAACTGAGTTTATTTTCACTGAACTGATGGAAACCAAATGAAAGAGAAAAGACACCACTTCAGTTCATTTTCATCACTTTCACAAAACATGTATCTATATATATCTACATATATATATAATATATAACATACGTAACGTTGAATTAATATAAATAATTAAAATGGATGTATTTTAGTTTTACCTTATTCTTATTGTGTTGGTGTGGTGTGATTTTCTTGGACAATGAATCAATCAACCCATTTGATTATGCAATCAACTGTTGAGACTGAGAGTGATTTCAGTGAAGAAGAAGAAGAAGACAGGATTAGTGTTGTCGATGATGGAGTCGTCTTCTTGCTCAAGCGAAACCTGGGAAAATCGAGAATAATTGAGAAAGCAATAATATGTGATGAAGAAGATCGTGGAGGTTTGTGTTTAAAGAATCCATTATATTTAATAATTGAAGCTCTGGTTTAGCTAGAAGAAGAAGAAGAAGAAGGAGAAAAGGGAGAATGGATATGAAGCAAAGTAGTTTATATAGATGAAATGAAAGTACAGAGAGAGAATTGAATTGATTATGGTATTTGTTGATAAATAATAACAGTAATAAAAATACATATTTATATAAAATTATTAGAGTATTACCTGAAGAAGGAGAGATGGAAATCTGAGTGTACACGTGCTTCATGATCGTCGTCGTCGTCGTCGTCATCTGAACTACTACTGCAAAAGAAAGAACGAATTTTTCTTACAATGACCTAAAACCGATACAAACCCATGAAAGATTTTCTGTTTTATATACCAAATTTTCTAGGGAAACAGAAAAAGAAAAGTGAAAGAGAAAGAGATAGTTTCATATATAGAGAACAATCAAAGAAACCTAACTATTTTTTTTTATTATTAATAATATTATGATGAGAAACAGGGGGGGGGGGGGGGGGGGGGGGGGGGGGAGGTGGGGGGGGAGTTGTATCTGTGCAAGAAACAAGAAGTAGTACTTTGAGAAGAGGAAAACTAGCCATTGTCAGAACTCAAAATCAATCTCTGCAAAGGAAAGAAAGAAGTAAAGAGAGAGATGGAGTTAAAAAGGCTGAGAAAAAGATACCCATCTTTATCTCTTCATTATCCCACATTTTCTTTTTTCTTTTATGAAAATTTAATTTTAATTTCATTGAAAAATTAAATTCATATATATAACATGTGAATTAATATATAATAAGTTTTTTTTTTTTTTTTAATTTCTCTTTAATGGCTAGCTTTTTAAGTAGGTACCTGCGAATAGATAACAAAGAGAGAAGAAGAACTTGTTGATTTGATATAACTCTCCCCTTTACAAATCATTTGATTCAGCAACAAGACTGAACAAAGAGAAGAATAAATAATTACACAGTATATGAAACAAAAATGAAAAAAAATAAAATAATATATTGATACATTTATACATACAGACGTACAATCAACTGAAAACGGGAAACGTCTCCTTCCACCAGAGTTTTTTTTTTAAGTGATTGATTAATTAATTAAAATTTATAAGAAAACAAAAAAAAAAAAAAAAAATATTGATGAAGGAAGAAGAGAGATGTGATAAGAGAAAACAGGTTTGAGGGTCCCTAGTTGTTCAATTTCATATTAATATCTCTTTGTCTTTTCCATATCTTCATTTTTCTTTGCTTATTTTTGTGTTTGGATTCCACAGTTTGAAGATAAAGCAAAATTTAATTCTTCAAAGAACACAGGGCCAACTACCATTAAACCTTCTCAAGACCTTTATTATACACTTACTTATCATATTAATTTATCTTCTTGTCGTACGTCTCTATTTTTCTTTTAACTTCGAACAAATATCGTTATATATATAATTATAAACGTTTCATAGTAGAACTAATCGTGCTCGTTTTGGGTTCACAGATACAGGTTTTTAGTCCAGATTTGATAAAGTACTGGTGTGTGTAATAGAGAACTTTAACTTACAATAATAATTGATGTAGTAGATGAAATGAGAAGTGGGGTCTCATGAATTTTATGCATGGACCGATATCTGATGTGTTTAGAATGAAGTGATAAGGCAAGAAGCATAAGGGCCCTCCTAGGTTATTATGTAATATTGAATCATCAGCCTACTAACAAATTAGTTTATTATATGCAAGAAAATTAAAGAAATTTATATATCGAAGTCTGGTATATTTGTTTCTACCACTTTCCTCCTCTTGAGTTATTTAATTGTTTTCCTTCTTTTTTTTTTTTTTTTTTTTTTTTTTTGTCTTATATATTGTTCTTCCATGCACCACCTTTTCATGGCTTCAAATGAATATTCAATTTAAATGGATGATATAAAAACTCAGTTTATTTATATATCCTTACACATTGGGTATTTTCCATACTTTTATAGGAGATTTTCATATATAATTTCATGGCTTATATATATATTATTTTGATGGTATATTTAATATTAATCAATCTCTCAATATAAATAAAATTAACCCATAAAAAAACACAATCAAATAAATTAATCATATATAAGAGATTTTGCCTTTACAATTTATACAATTTACTATATCATAAATAGGACATTATACTTTAATATTATATATTTTTTCTTTTGATGATCGAGAATGTTTAGGTTTGTTTACGTACATATAACTAATTTCTAAAGATCTTGAAACTATCAATTTTAGATAGAGTTTAAGTGATTTTCTTATTAATAACCGAAAGATTCAAATCCAAAACTTCTTAAATAATAATCCAAATACGTAATTGACTTGATTAGGTGGATTCATTTATATTATTTTTTATAATAAAGAAATTAATAAAAACGTAAGACGTACATTAATGAATGAATATAGGGAATAATAAATGCAAGTGAAAGGTAGAAATATCTTTATCTGAAACTGAGAGAGAGAAGAAACTTATTGTCTATCACTATCATAACATAACAATGATAGAGTAAAGAAATTATGAGCATTCACTGACAAAAAATCTTTTCATGGAGTTAATAATAATAATAATATGAGGATGATGATTAATTTCAAAAAATGACAGATTTTCAATTCATTCTAAGGTTAATTAACATTTTTGCATGCAATATTGTACTGTACTCTCTGCCATTGCCAGTGCTTTTATTAATTAAATTTTAGAGGTTTCTCTGAGTAGCCTTTTCTCATCAACTGTCACTCTCTCATCAAATCTCTTTAACCTTAATAAATGTAATAATCTATTCATACTTCCTGGATTCCCTCACTAAAACAGAATTTATTCATTTAATTAGGTTTTATTTTATATACCGTATATTAGCAATGCAAACAACAAACAAAGATGTGGGCATTCTGTTTTCCATGCTATTTGAGTCCTCCTACGTTTTCCAGTATTGACAGCTTGACACTCATTTTTCATGTTGGAGAGTTCTCCTATAATTTATCTGTACTTTTTTTGCAACGTCTTACAATCAACGCGTTATGATTTAATAATTTTTTGACAAAATTTTGCGTTTGAATATCAATTTCTTGTAAAATAGGAAGTTTTTAATAACTTTATAAGAGATTTTTTTTTTTATGATCGAAATGTTTTGTGTCAATTTTATTGACTTCCCCTATAACAACTAATAAAGACTCAAACTTAGGATAAATTATTTTGTAGTTCTCATTTTTTTATATGATCGAAGCAAGATAAATCAACTTGTAGTTCTCACTTATTTATGGGGATTTCACATGAATTTATTTATACATACATGAGAGAAATTATATTCCATTTTTATTAGAATTTTACTCAAGGTTTATTTATGAGAGTAGAAATAATAGTAGTAAACGCACAAAAGATATCGTGGGGTTATTTCATCTATATATATATATACGAAGTACTTTCATATCATCTCCATTATGAAATATTTAAGCTTAAAATATTTTCATTATTTATTACAATTAACTACTCAATCAAGCATAAATTTACTTCACCTTTATATTTACTAAATCAAGTACCACCTGCCTATGGGATTTGGTTCAGTCGATTCTAGGTTTATTTAAATCTTAAAAAAAAAAATATTATGGAAATTAACGTTTTTCACTGTACTGTAATCCCTATAAAAAACTAAAAAAAAAATAGTTATGAAAATGAGATTTATGATACTCTTAATTAGTATTTATGCATGTAACCATCAATGCCACCCACCAAACCTCCTTTTTTTTTTTTTTTTTTTTTTTTTTTTTTTTTTTTTTTTGTGTATAATAAGATTGTCCATGCATATAACTATAGACCTTTACCCTTGTTGTTGAAAGGTCAACCCTTTAGTCTCTTGGGTTAGTTATACCCAAGGGATCAACTATATTTAAAGGGTCTTGTGTTGGAGAGGTACCACATTTGTATAATTACCTTAGTTCATTAAGTTTGTAGGATGTTCCGTGACCATGAGGATTAGATAGGCTCTAATGTGAGCATGAATACCTCAGGTACCTTTAAAAAAAAAAAAATCATATAAGTATAGGTCTTGTTTTTAATTAGTGAACTAATTATATAACTATTAATTATTCATTTTACATGTTAAAAAAATTTAACATCTTAATTTGCATTTTCTGTTTTATCAAATCTTGGTTTCTGAGTTAATGTAACATTGTTGTGTATATAATTTATTGTTGTCACAATACCCAAAAGTTTATCAAGGAAAGAGGGTTTTCATTGTATCGAGTCAATAATGTTTTCTAGTAGTAATTAATAAATTAATTAAGAAAATAATTAACTAGATTATTAATCAATAATCAATCCAATAATTGGCATTAATATTGTATTATTCATTGAACCAATAAATTAACTAAGAATTCTCAAAAGAAAAAAAAAATGGTTTTGTATAAATTATTTAACCATAGTACATGCCCGTACTAATATGTTCCCATAATGGTATTAATTTGTTGCTTTCAAAACATCACATCAAAAATACCCAAAATTAGACTTATAAATTGTACAATGTTATTGAATCTTTGCACACAAGTTTATAATAATAATAAATAATAATAAGGTAAGTGGGTATGGTCCATTTTGAGAGTTCTAATTTTCTATACTTGAAGATATTGTTATGATGAAGTCTTACCTTGTTTTGTCTCTTCTTTTCCAAATCCCTTATTTCTTTTCACAAGAAAATGACTAAAAAACAGAAGAGAGCATTGAAAAAGCTAGAGATTTTATACTTAAAAATAAATAATTTAGAAAAGATGAATTAAAGTTGGTATGTGGAAATGTTAACATAAGCTACATGTGTACCAATCAATGTATCTTAGAACTACCTACATCATCATCGTCATCATGATCACATATCAATACCATAATTGAATCATCAAAGTGAATATATTTATACTTCTTTTTTCTAGGATTCTATAGTTTGTATGATGTGAGAAATTTTGTCACAAAAAGGGAAAAAAAAATAAAAAAAAATTAATAAAAAAAACAAGGACCCACTTCTCAATATTCACCATTGGGTTGGTGAACTAAATCTCCTAGATGGGCCATCATGACCCAAGTTCACATTTATCTAAATAATTAATTTTTGAAAATGGGTTAAATAATAATATATTAATAAAGCAACTAAATTTTAGTTTAAATTAGTGTATAAAGTTGTTTATGTACCTCCATAATTGTTTTGATTATCAATCTTATCCTTTTTTTTTTTTTTTTGTTAGTAACTGGGGTATCCGAGTCAATTTACATGCACCTCAATTAATTCCCGAGGTTTATTGAACACTCTACGAACCTAAAAAACTAGGTAAATCACAATATTATCGTGATAGGTGGCTTTAACGTTTGAACCTAAGAAAATGAGCAAACCTCCTTAACCATCAAGTCAACCCCTT